AAAGATTTCGTCGTTGACTTCTAAGACTTAACTACAAATTATGAAGTATCTGATGCAGTGTCTTCAATGCCTCTTTGCCATCCTCCTAATCTTCAGCTTCTTCTCTATCACAATCAAATGTAGGAACTCTGGCTGAGCTACTTCAAAATGTTTCTTCCAGTCAGAAAAAAGAAAACAAAAATACAGCCTCTTTCCGTCTTTTACATGTTACTTTTACTTGTGTTCAGATTTAGAAGATCCTAAGATTCATAGCGAAGTATCTCCTGGAAGGCATTTACGTATCATGTTATCATAAATCAGTTCAGAGCTTTTATTTCCTGCTTCAGCTATAAGACACGTCTGCTTACTGTCAGTGTTTGTCTCTAAATGGAGTGTAGCTTCTTTCTCGGGTGTTTAGTTTGCACCCCGATCTTCACCCTGTGACTCCAAAAGGCTTTGGTGTTATAACTGTATTGGATGAATTCATGTCATTTATTTAGTTTTGATGAACAAGTTTTTCCCCCCCACTTTCCTACTTATTGCTAGTTCTGTTGCATGAACTCTGACTTACTAATCCAGGAAAAGCGTAAATCCGTAGCTCAGATTCACAGATCATATTTGAACCTGTTACATATACATATTTTCACATTTTGTGTTTGTGCTTCATATAGTTTTTGACATTTTTTATGAGCTTTGATTTTTTTTTTTTTTGGTTTTGTTTTGTTTTTCTTCTGAAAATGGTCAGCAGCAAAGACAAGATGGAAATTGCCAATAAGGTAGCAAATGAGCTCAGAAACACTACAGACGTGCTACAAAGCAGACTGGTTCCTTGCAATTTTATGAATATGTATCAGAAATAGAACGTGAACAAAGTTAGAGTTTCATTTCAAGTGAATGTAAAAACTTAACTGCGTCTTTATTCTCATTCTCAGTCATTCAGGTGTAAAGTTTCTGAACCCAGAATAATTTTCCAAGCTTCACAATACAACCACATAAATCTATTGTTGTATCTTTAAAAAAAATGGCTAAGAAATGTAAATGAAACTATTGCAATCTGTATTTAATGATTATTGTAAAGGAAAATGTTACATAGACCACAAATAAATAAGCCTTTTAATCTGAGGTTTAATATCAGATGTTTTTGCTCAACAAAATCATTTATTTCACAAACAAGCCCCAACATTTGTTATATCTGTGCCATATTTAATTCCTATTTGATTCAACTAAGACGTTTCTTTTAGAAAATGAAAAGGGATCTCTATAAAAATAACAAGACAATGAAAAAAGAGCAACATTTTGAAAAAAAAACCCCAAAAACTATGTATTCCAGTATAGACATGTTGATCTGAGAGTATATTGCATTGGCAGGATACTCAGAGATGTTTTGTTGAAGGGATCCATCTAAACGTTGGTGGATAGTCGTTTTATAGAGCTGAACTTGGGCACCCTGGACTTTCATCCCCAGATTATCATTTGGAACGGAAAAGAAAGAAATAGAGATGTTGACTTCACTGCCAAAGTATTTCAGTCCATCCTGATGACGGAGCAGATTGTAATGTCTTGTCCTTAATCCCCATAAGCACACAATATGCTACAGGGTTGCATCACAGTCAGTCATGGCAGTTTCAGTGAAAGGAGCTTATTTTCATAAAGTTTACTCCTGCCTTACCCAGGTTTTTAGGTAGTGTGATTCCATCTTTATGATTTGGGACATTTCACTTCCTACCAACCGCAAACTTGCATCTGTCACTCTTTTGCTCCGAAGTCCAGACCATTGGAGGGAACTCCAACTCTCCATTACACTTAATTATAATAAACACCAAGGCATCCAGAACATGTCTAGAAGTTGGCTTGAAAGTGTCTTCTAAATTCTGCTTCTCACTGACAAGTGCAACACACTCTGACATATGGGTTGGTTATATTGTGGAAACTTATGGGATTTTCGCAGCTGATAGTCTGGTGGATTCAGTTCAATTATTGGGAAACAAATTGACACCGTTTGTTACATTTTCAGCTGTTGGGTTTTGCTTTTACACTTCACTGTGCCAAACAAGCCTTACCTCTGAAAAACCTTTTTACCTCCTCATCTTGAGGGCATGTTGCACCAAGAACCACTGGAGAAAATGACACCAAAAACGCTTAAGAAAACACTGAGCACAACTTCATCGCAAAATGCAAAACAAAAATGGAGTTGCATCAGATTTTAGCGGTTGCAGGATTTTTCATTCATCTTTTGCAAACTACCATGAGCCATGTCTCCCTCAGCTCTAGACACAGAATACTCTGCGTGATAAACCCTTTTCTGCTTTTGGAGCGGTCTCTACTCCACTTGCCGTTCACATATGTATTCACACCGCTCCAGAGGTCACTTCAACCAATACCTAGGTTTGTTGGCAGACCAGAGTTTTCATTTCATGTATTCACACCTCCCTAAATGGGCCAGGCTCTTTAGACAAACAAATTAGCGTTTGATTGATTTGGACTGCACCTCAGTCACCAAGGAAACATTTTGTACTTTGCATCAACATGGTTCACAACCAGAATTAGTTGAGGGTCCACCTCCAGTTAAGCCACAGTATCACAGTCTCTGCTTAACTTGGGTTTAAGTAACTGTGCCAAATTGTTTTTTTTTTAATTTTACTAAATCTTGCTAAAACAATTTGTAGGTAATATTTTGGGGAAAACGGAAATAAAAGTCCATTGGAAACCTTCAAGAACCCAAAGTCTGAGCAGAATTGGGATTGAATTCCTCCTAGGATGATTGCTACCCAGCTCAAAAAAAATCAAACATTGGTTAAAAAAGTGCACAGTGAAACGCACGGTAGAATATTTTAGTCCCATTCGATTTTGGAAGATATGTTTAAACACGTCGGAAGAGAGAAATTACAAAATGAAACGCTGTAAATGTGCTGATAACAGCGCAAACGAGTATATTTGGTGGGCAGTCATTGTTGTTTGTATAAAATAAGCCCTTTCATCCCACCTACTGTTCAGCTATGCTGCGTCAGCATTGCAAGAAAGCCAGCAGAATTTGGCTGCACGCTGCTGCCATGAGACCGTGATTTATGTGTGCTGGCCTTTAAAATATCCCACTATGTTTGCCATAAGCGCCTTGAAGATTCGTTTCACAAATGCCCATTGGATCACACTGCTCTCCAGGAGTGCAGCACTACAACAGCCTCATTCCTGTTCTATAAACCTTTGATTCTTTCGCCTTTCGCTCGCCTTCTTCCCCCCCTTCCTCCTCCCTCCCTCCTCTCCCCCCTCCCCCCCTCTCCTTCTCCTTCTGCCTCACCTCGTGTGTCCGTAAAGCCGAGAGACGGAGGAGAGAGGAGAGGAGAGGAGAGGAGAGGAGAGGAGAGGAGAGGAGAGGAGAGGAGAGGAGAGGAGAGGAGAGGAGAGGAGAGGAGAGGAGAGGAGAGGAGAGGAGAGGAGAGGAGAGGAGAGGAGAGGAGAGGAGAGGAGAGGGAGCCGCTTGCTTTCTGCTGGCTCTGCATTATGGGAGGGAAAGCGAGGCTGAGGACAGATAGGAGCAAGAGAGGGATGTTTGAGAGTGTGAGTGCTAGCAGCAGTTAAGCAGAGAGCCTGTGCCAAGAGAGGGAATGCAGCACTGCATTATGAAAGCCATAGGATATACCTCAGGTTCAGCTGTGCAAGAGATTACAGAGCAAAGCGGCAATCGGGGCGCGCGTTTCATCGCATGTAACTCCCGCCATCTTTTAACATAGAGAAAATGCGCCTTTTACTTGACGTTGCACTGCACACGGGGCTTCCTTCCCTCAAAAGTCAATTCCACAAGCTTCTATCATCTCATCCAAATCACATTATTCACAGAGCCTGATATTTCGGGGAGGAAAAAGGAGCGGAGAAGAACAATGGGAGGATATAACAGGAGTTTGTTAGAAATACCATGGATGATTTTTAGGTCAGCTCAAGGCCAAGTAACGCTTTTTTTTTCTACACCTACTTGTGAGCATGTAGGGGGGCCTCCTGCCTCAGGATGGAGATCTGTTATGCCCAGCTATTTTAGGCATCCACTCTGTTTCTGGCATCATCTGTTATTTGCTCAGGTCGTTCCTGGTAGGCAGAATCCTGTGATACTGTAACAAAGATCCACAGGTTTTTGCTTTGTTATGTGGTGCCTGGAAGAAATATTCATGCATCCACAAATTACTTAAAGTCATGATTATAAAGTAAATGAACTGAACTTTTGCCATTATTTTGACCATTCAAACCGGTGAGCAATTTGGGGTTAAGTGCCCTGCCCAAGGGCTTATTAACATGTGTCAGGAGGAAGCTGGAATAGAACCTACAACCTTCTGACCACAAGAACACTACAAGACAGTCCTCTACCCACAGAGCCACCGTGGAAGTGGAAGTAAATGTGTGGTTTTCAATCATTTTTGTAAGAATCAGTCAAATGTGGTATTTGAATTTAACACCCTTCACTCCGATACCCCTAAATTAAAAGTCAACTATTATTCAAAATTCACTTTTTGTGTGTTTCTGTTTTTTCATTTGGGTTTCCCTTTGTCCCAATAAAATAAGTTAAAGTTTGAGGTTGGAACCTGACAAAATGTGAAACATTTCAAGGGATGTGGATACTTTCCCTCTCAGTAGGCACTGTTGCATCCTGGGAAAGTGGGCTGAATTCCTTTGGTAGCCAAAAAGTGATCAATTCCAGTAATATAAAAATTCTATTGATGGCCTTTATTGAATGTGATTGTGAGCTGGATATACCATACAAAATGGCTGACAGTGAACATGGATTTCTAGAGTGGTACAAATTGGGGCAACAGTCTCTTCAGAGCATAAGAACCTTCCCTCGAAGCAAAGCCTGACATTAAAGACAGTCTGTGTGCAGAGTGAGGAGGAATCAGTCAGCCAAAGCAGGCTTTTCCCGCCGATAACGTTTTATAAACTCAACGCTTTGTGGCTCACAGTAGAATAATGCAGCGGCTTTTGATCAAGCTGGAACGCATTTTAATCACTGCTTGTTCATTTTGACTTTCTCCCTGCAGGAGGGTCAGGAGCTGATCCAGGAGAAGCCGGAGCTGCGTCCGGTTGTGCAGCAGAAACTAGAGGAGATCAGAGAGTGCTGGTCGGACCTGGAGACCACCACCAAGGCCAAGGCCCGCCAGCTCTTTGAGAACAACAAGCCCGAGCCAGCGGTGAAGAGCTACTCGGACCTCGACAGCCAGCTCTCCCACCTGGAGCAGCCCCCCCAGCTGGAACAGGCACACCACCTGCCCACCTTCAATGAGCAGCTCCAGAAATTCCAGGCAAGCACCAGCTTACTGGGTCGCCCTGAGGAGACATTTACAGCACCTATACGTCTGTTAATGAGCAGCAACAAAACATCAGATGATCCAAACCTTCTCCTTAGCAGCAGCGTGTCAAACAGGCAACTGTCATCCTCCATGTATTAAGTTAAATTGAGTTAATATGAAATTTAATTTTACTGTAAAATTACAACCAGTCCCATTCAATAAATTGAAATATTTTAAAAAGTCAGTTTATATTAGGAACTTTAACTCTAAACAGGGTGGGCCATAAGTTTCCATACATAGAAAAATAAATATTTTTATTTTTGTGTAATCGCTGCACGTCTTGGACCACTTCATGGTTGACCTGCAACATTTCCAGTTTTCTAAAACTGCCACAGTGTCATGTGTGATGCTCGTTCCATGATTTCTTTGCTCTTTTGTCAAACACATCTTCTTGGGTATCTGAAATATAAAAGACATTTTATATTCTCCTATGTATGGAAACTTATGGCCCATCCTGTAGATTAACTACATACAGATGGGCTGTTTATCCGCCATCATCGGTGCCCATGCTAACTAGCCTCAGCATTTGCGTCAGGCTACGTTGTGGTGAACCAGCTGAGAGCGAGGGAAGTGGGGGGATAACATAAGTAGCGTGTACAACTGGGTGATTGTCAGCACTAATACAGTCCTCCTGTCTCTGATTGGTTGCTTCTGGCTGAGTGTATTTCTGCAGTTGGAACTGGGAACAGCGTTCACATTTTATCTGTCTGATAGTGTCACAACATTATTTTAACAAAAAAAAAGATTAATAAAATTCACATGCTGCAACTTTAAAGGCTGTTATTTTGAAAAGTATTCTAATTTTGTGAATGTGACTGTGTGTCTCACTTAGACTGCTGTCTGTGCACACTGCCTTACTAAAATTTACTTGCCAGCCTTTACGCATTTCATCACATTACAGCAAGCAGCTACAAAGATCTGTGTGCTTTGTTGGAATTTTAAGCGATACGCCAACATAAAGGCGTACTTATTGTGGCATGGAGGACAAAGGATGAATGATCATTTTAATAATTTTCTTTAAAATGTTAAAATTTGAAAAGTGTGGCTCGTTAAATTCTAATGCAACCAACTGCATTCAGAAGTCACCTGTGGTAGTGAGGTTCTAAAAATATTTTCCAATTGAACATCTCACAGAGCTCTGTTTCAGTCCATCATCTGAAAATGGGAAGCGGATGAACAGACATGACCGTTCACCTAAGCTGAAAGTAGAGCATTAGTCAGAGAAGCACAAATCCTAACCCAAAATGGAACCTTTGGTCCAAAATGTAAAGCATTAGTTGTAATTGCTGAAAGAAATAACACTGGCTATTAGGGGTGCACTGATACATTTTCCTATGGCTTTCCACAATCAGTTCTGATCTTATCAATCAAGTTTGGCCTGAAAATCAGTCACTATCTCCTTTTCCCTTTTGCTCTGCTGAGAGAAAGCTGGCCGACAAACCTGCCCACCAGGTCACATCTGCACGTGCACGGTTAACAGTAGTCACACCACTGTTGCCAACTAAGCAACTTTGACCTTATATTTCAGGTCATTGCTATGGGCCAAAATCAGAATAGAGAAATCAGACAAAGACAGACTAAACAGACTAATCATAAAGATCGGCCGAGTAATCACAGCAATCAATGAACCTTTGATGGACATCAGTTTGGACAAATTGTCCTCAGTGTGTAGCATGATGGTAGCTGCATGCTTTAATCAGCCGGGACAAAGAAGTTAGTCAGAGTTTGTGGGATTAAACCCGGGACATCACAGAGAAGAAAGGAGATGTAACACTGGAGTGGTGGTTCACCTGCCAGCAGGACAACAACCCTTAACATACATCCAGTGCTATAATGGAATGCTTTGGATGGAATCATATTGATATGGTAGAATGGCCAAGTCAGTGTTTTGATCTAAATTCAATTGAGAATCTGTGGCGAAACTTGACTAAGATATTTCACGATAAAAGACACACCTTTCAGCCTTTAGATGTGCAACGCTGGTAGAAGTTGAAGTTGAAGCTGCACAAGCAGTGACAGTGGGCTCTGCAAGGTGTTTATTTTTGGGTGTCTGTATAGAAACGCAGCTCGCACTTGTCAGATTTTGAAATGGTATGCATCATTTTGTGCTACTTTACAGTTATGCGCTTGTTCAACAGGTATTCTCAAGGCACTGTACAGCTCCATCTGGAACATTTCAGTTTGCTCCGTGGTGGCATGTTCTCAAACATAATGTTCAGTGGCATTAAAAAAACAAAGCCTCATCTGCTTTTTTTATTTTTCAAGTGAGGCAAACAATTACATAACACTGATATATTCTGACAGGAAAAAAAGCTGATGTGCTCTGTCCACTTTTCATATACAGTGGCTGCAACATGACCTTCCTCTTCCCTTCTCTGCAGGCGATGGAGTCTCAGATCGGGGACTTCTACAAGGACATGGGGGAGCTGGGAGGCCTGCAGGGCCTCAGCCTTCCCCAGCGAGGCCTGGTGGCGGGCGACAAGGAGAGCGCTGAGCAGTCGGGCGAGGTGGAGACCCGCATCGTTCGCCTTATCGAGCCTCTGAAGGAGCGGCGCCGCATCCTGCTGGCTTCCAAGGAAATGCACCAGGTTGCCCAGGATCTGGAGGATGAAATTGTGAGTTTCCTCTTGCTTAATGAAACTCCATCACTCAGCCGCTGGCAGTAATACACACATGCATTATGGTTTTAGTCAGAAGCTACATCCACTCATCCTGGACCTGAATGCCATCTTGATTTGGGCTTTTAAATAATGCATTTCAACCTGGATACAATTTTACAAAGAATAAGAAACTTCAAATAATTTCTTAAACAGAAAGTAGGTGCACAGTTTTTTATTCTTTCATTTTCAAATTAAAAAAACCTTCAGATGTTTTAGTGTGTGCGAATCAGAGAAACTCCATGATAAATTCAAACTTCAGCACTGTTTGTGTTTTGAATAGTCACTGAAACTGTTTGTTGTATCCAAGTTCATCATCAAAAGCCCAAAATTAATGTGACTTGATTCTCGATTCTTACAGCGAGTCTAAAACAACATGCTACGAAAAGGTTTTAAAAAACAATTCAAAACATTCATGCTTCATACTGTGGCTGAAATTCTTGAAAAATTCTTAAAAAACAAAACTAAACGACTCGCTTATCTTTGTTTAAGATGTGGATCCAAGAAAGGCTTCCTTTAGCATCGTGTAAGGATTATGGGAATAACCTCCAGAGTGTGCAGCAGCATGTCAAAAAACACCAGGTACGTTTCATGGCTAACCTTTGACTGCGGCTTCCTGACAGGTAGACATTGTTACCCTAAGAGCTCGTTTGCGATTGGTATTGCAGACGCTTCAGAGAGAGCTGACGGGGCGGCGGGCTCGGATCGAGGAGGTCTTGGATCGGGCCGCCATCATCGCCTCACTAAGAACTCCAGAGGTTGACTTTGTCCGTGAGGGAGCGGGGCACGTGCGCCAGCTGTGGGAGGTGTTGCAGCTGGAGACGGAGAGGCGCTCGGTGATGCTGGACGCCGCCCTGCAGTCTCAGCAGTACTACAGCGAGGCCGCTAAGGTGGAGTCGTGGCTGTCGGGGCAGAAGCTCCACGTCGCCAATGAAGAGAAAGGCACGGTACGTTCGAACAAGTGGGCATCGCAGCGAACATGCTACGTCTGTTATAGCTTGACATTACGGTGACCTTTTACAGGATGAGGCGAGCACCCTGCAGCTGCTGAAGGCTCACCTGGCTCTGGAGCAAACAGTGGAAACGTATGCAGAGACCGTGGGCATGCTCTCCCAGCAATGCCAGCATTTACTGGAACTGGGACACCCAGAGAGGTGTGCTTAGGACTCATTTGGGCTGTGAAAAAGTATTTGAACTCCTTACAGATTTCTTTTGTGTGTGTGTTTTCTTATTTTTTATTTGACTAACTTAAATGTTTCAGATCATCATATACGTTTAATATCAAAAACAAGACAAAAGAAATCCAAATCACTTTTTGATGATAGCTGAAACAAAGCTACCCATATCAATTTGGCCCTACCTGAAAAGCTATTTGCCTCACTTAAAATAGAAAAATAAACAGTTATCCATTTGTTTGTTTATTTTGTTTTGTCACACTTAATTTATGTGTGACACATAATTAGAAATTGCTTTGGGTCTCAACTCCCTAGAAGTCTGCCTCTGAACCTGCAGGAAACAAAACAAAAAAACTACTGAAACAGCGTTTATATGTAATAATAGAAATGATAACGTCACTGCATTATACAAAGTGTTTTGTTTTTTCAGTTTCTCTCACCACACCCAGGCACAATTACAAGCCCAAATCTGGACAACTTTTTTTCTTAAAAACAAAAGTCAGATTCTAATTTAAACCTAATGGAGATTCTGTTGCATAATCTCAAAATGCCTGTTTATCTTTGCAAACCTTTCAATAGAAGTGGGCCAACATTTTTTAACAGGAACTTAAAACTCTGTCAGTGATGTAAGGCTCTTTGACAGTTACCTCAAATGCTCCATGGTAATTCTTGCCACATAACGTGGAATTTTGGGTCTAAATTTGTCTGAAACTGTATTTGATGATCCAAAAACATTTCAGTGTTGCACAAGAAAAGGAAAAGCAAGAATTGTGTGAGGAGGAGGCAAGTGCTTCTTTATGGCACACTCGGGTCGATTATTTGTCTGTTTGTGGCTGCGTCATTGTAGTTTTCTTTCCTTTCCACAGTGAGCACATCACTAAGCAGCAGTCCCACATCGACCGACTGTATGTGTCCCTGAAAGACATGGTGGAGCACAGGAAAACCAAACTGGAGCAGCAGTACTGGCTCTACCAGCTCAACAAGGAGGTTGAGGAGTTAGAGAAATGGATCACCGAGCGTGAGGCCGTGGCGAGTTCCACTGAGCTGGGCCACGACCTTGAGGAAGTGACGGTTAGTTCACCAGCATGGTTTCCATGTCTGCTTTACCTCAGGAAATATGTCTCAGGATAGAATATGGGCAACGATCTGAGGGCACAGAAATAGAAAAGAGGAACCAAAACAACACCTGCATTGTATTTTGACTTTGACTTGTACTTAACTGAATTTGTGAATATTCAGTTAAGCACTGAATGAGGTAAAAGTGTTTATTGTTTTTGGTCTTTGTCTTAATTTCACTCATTCACTCATGAGCATTCAGAAACAGCGAGGGTTAAAAACTGGAACGATTTCAGAAAAATGCCTCACTCTGTCCACTGGTCAGGACTCCAGTAGGAACTCCCTCATGCTCCTCAGCCATGTCTGAGGAATGTGTGCAAAGTGCGGTTTTACTTTGTCCTGTTGAAATATTTATGGAGGAGATCCGGTGTTCGCAGCAGTGGCTGCTGCATGTCTCTAGCAGTCATTCTGCCGGAGGTAGGACACGCCCTGGACAGGTCGCCTGTCCGTCACATGACAGAGCTCACAATCAAAGATAAATCACCAAAACATCAGTGGAGACATGCAAAGGCTTCTCAGCAATTACTGGAAGAGTTTGAGGCCATAGGGAATCTAATAACGACTATTAAGGAAGGCATAGATCTTTTTCAACACTGTATTTGTTATTAAAATGAATATAAAAACAGCTACGTTTCAAATATGAATACTCTTTCTGTTACTTTTGCTCTTGAGAAATGCCTGTAAGTTAAAAGATCATTTAAATCTGAATCTGCCAGCATGAATATGAATTGCTTTGCATACCAGGGGCACGACTGGCATTTAAAACCAGTTTGAATAATTTTGAGCTTAACTATAAACCCACAATCTGTGCTGTGTTTCTGTTACACATACAGACAACAATATAAATTATCGTCAACTTCGTAAAATACGGACCGCAACAATTTTTTTTATCAAAAAAGATTGTGGCCAAAAAAAAAATAAATCGCTGCCTTCTTTTTGCCAAAGTTTAGGCAAAGAAAAAAAATCACTTTTGGCGAAAAATAATTAAATTTTATTTTAGGAAGGTGGCGTCACATGATATAAGTTAATCCACATTTGTCTCACTCATTTCCGTCTTTGCCATCAACATTTTGTCCCATTGATGGGTCACATCTATATCAGGTGTAGCAGTGAAAGCCAGCATTTTGTGCAGCTTAATGTAACAGCTAAATGTAGAAATTTAGCTTATTACATTTTATTATGTACCAAGATGTTTTTGGTCTTTACAGGGCATATATGTGTGTGTGTGTGTTATTCAGGTGCTTCAGGAGAGGTTCACCAAGTTTGCCTCTGAAACCAACAGCGTCGGCGAGCAGCGCATGGAGCAGGTGAACAAAATGGTGAACGAGATGATCGACTGCGGCCACTCCGACGCAGCCACCATCGCCGAGTGGAAGGACGGCCTGAACGAGTCGTGGGCCGACCTCCTGGAGCTCATGGAGACGCGCAGGCAGATGCTGGCCGCGTCCCAACAGCTGCACAAGTTCTTCACTGACTGCAAAGAGGTAGAGTCAAAACAAATGACGTGTACCGTGACCCGTCCTTTTCCTGCACGTCAGGTAGACGGTCTGAGCGCGGTGCGAGGGCTCTATTTTTAAAGCGCTCGTGATGACAACGCTTTCCCGTGCGGTAGGTCTTGGCTCAGATCACAGGGAAGATGAAGCAGCTGCCAGAGGTGAGGGCGTGCCAAGCCAACATCACCAATCCAGCCACCCTGCAGAGACTCATGCACTCCTTTGAGCATGCCCTTCAACTGCTAGTAGCACAGGCAAGCGATACAACTTCTCTCTGCAAACCAGATATAACTGGATTTATAAAAGCGTCTTTTGACTTGGGACAGCGACGCCACTTTTCACGTCTCTTCCGTATCTTCGAAAGGTGAGACAACTCCAGGAGAATGCTGCCCAGCTCAGGACCATCTACGCTGGCGAAAAGGCAGAGGCCATCATGGTGAAAGAGCAGGAAGTAATGGACGCTTGGAAGGAACTGCTGAGCTCCTGCGAGGCCAGTCGCATCCAGGTGACCTCCGTGACCGACAAGGTGCAGTTCTTCTCGGTGGTGCGTGAAAACCTAATGTGGATGGAAGGCATCATGGGACAAATAAGATGGGATGAGCCAAGGTGAGACATTGTTTCTTCGCTGCCGCTAGTTTGTGTTGAAGTTGTTGAAAGCGCGGGAGCATCGAGTTGCACCAAATAACTCCGGGTTCTCGTGTGGACGCGGTGGACCGGAACATCTTTATGTTCTGTATGAAATTAGGCAACCTTGACCTGGTTTAGTGCTCTGTTCGTTTTATCATGACATAACACGGAGAGAAGAAATTCCCGTTGTGGTCTAGTTCCCAAACCACCTGCATTTCACATTTGTCATACAAACACACTTTATTTGAAATCTTGAAATGTGCAGCGGCTCTTAAAGATCTCCATCTGAGTATTATTTACACCGAAAACGAAGGTTTGGAGGTTGTGCACAGCCAAGGCTTTTTCTGTGTGAAATATGTACTGAGAACATCTGATCAGACTAATAAATATGAAAGTAAAAAAGGTTGCAAGAGAAAGTTATTTTTAAATAGGTTTAGAAGTTTCTTACATTTTTTTTATAAGACATGAACTCTGACCAGAAATGTTGTCCATGTTCTGTGTCCACTACATGTTTTACACAGAAATATAATCATCTCAAAGGACAACGTATAGCCATCAAAAATATAATAATGTCTATGTATCAGATTTTATAAACCTACAAGCGTAGAAGTGACTGGATCTGACGAATCCAAAGATCTAGACAGGTGGTTCAATACGTTTGTCAAAATAGTGTTATGAGGTTAGAGAACAACGGTGCCCCGTGTTTTTGTCCCCTTAACAATGCCTAAGATGATGGTGTTTTCACCAAGAGGTAAAAGTTTAATTTTTTAAGCATCTTAAAACCCCTTTTTAACTAGTTGGAGTTGCAAAATAATAGAAATCGCTGGTTGCTATGATTCATCATGAGCCATTTAGCACATATTTAATCCTTTATCTTCCACAGCTTCTATCACTATCATTATTATTATTAACTTCCAGTATTCAATCAGTCTTTTCTGAACAATCTGACCTGTTTGTTCACAGGGATCTGACGGCTCTGGAAGTGATGATGAAACATCACCAGGATCTAAAAGCCAAAGTAGACGGCCGCAGCAAGACCATCCAACAGTGTGCAGACCTCGGCAAGATTTTGATAGCTGCAGGCAACCCGGCGTCAGAGGAGGTTGGGAAGGCAAACCACACAGCTTTACTGGCACACATAAAACAGCATTGCAAAAACTCATGATCCTGTCTAAACTACCCAAACATGTCGCAACAGATACAAGAGAAGTTGGACAGTCTACTCACAAAACAGAAGGATCTGGTTGAGAAATGGGACAAACACCAGGAAAGGTTACTACGCAGTAAGTACACAGACGCATAGCTGCAATAGAAAACGACCATAAACAAGGAGGCACTCAAATGTGCAAACACTACTTTAGCTTTCGGACTGTTATTTGAGCTACAAGCCATATTGGAATCACTTGAATCGCAATGCGCACACACACTCAAACATGTAAATACCAGCTTTACAGTTGAGTGGGCATTAATTATAAAACACAACATGATTATGTAAGGTAAGTGTGCTGTTTGTGTACGGTCACTTCCAGAGCAAGAACACTTCCAGTTTGCCCAGGAGACGGTAAAGGCAGAAGCCTGGCTGAAAGCCAAGGAGCCACTGATGAGCTCCAAGCAGCAAGAGGGAGAAGAGGCCCAGGCCCAAACAGACGAGGTTGAGCAGCTCATACTTCGCCACGAGGCCTTCCGCAAGGCCGCTGTAACCTGGAGAGAACGCTTCAGCTCCCTCCGCCAGCTTTCCGCAGTAAGCTTTACTGTAGATGAAAGTTTAATGGTGTTTGCTGTAGCCGCAGTTTAACACTGCTAAAAAAAAAAAGAAGAAAAAAGGGGAAAAAAATAGAACCACAGGATGCTGTGTTTGCTTAGCAGACATTTGCACATGCCAGCAGTTGCATCATTGAACGCATTTCATGAGCCCTCACTCGGTCGGCCTTCCATGCTACTTTGATTTGTGTTTAGAGCGACAAGCTAAAAACGCAAACAGGTGCGTCTCAGTGAACGACAAAATCACAAAACAGTTTGTTTCAGTGGTTTAATTTAAAAGTGATACTCCATTGCATACAGAAATATTTATTTTAAAATTTATTACTTTGAAATAATGATTTATTTTAAAATTAATTTCTGTAAATTTACAGCTTACAGCTGATGAAAACCCAAAAATTGGTTAATACAACCTCATCATACAGGATCTGCTCACTCACTAGCTGTTAAAACGTGGTTAATTATTGTTTGTATTTAATTTCTGTGCGTCCTTAGCTGACAGACTAGGAAACAATATTGTGTGTTTAGTTTCCAAATTGTTTTTTATTTAAACCATTTGCCCATACAAAGCTAGTTAGCCTGGACATTGCCTCCCTTTGCTATTCCGCTCAATTAAAATCTGTCTTCACTGTGAGTCTGGGTTTTCTCCCATTCACTTGGATTCCCCCAGTAGAATTTGTTCTGGGCCAGTCAGTGAACAGAAGGAGAAGTTGAGAAGAATGACCTCGATTTTCTGCGCTGGTTTAGAAGTGTGGGCTGCTTGTAGTTTCAGCAATGGCGTTGGCAAAAGTGAACGAGTTTGCTTCAGCTCTGCTACCAGATATCGAATTAACATTAACAGCCATCTTGTCTGGCTTGACTGTATATCACAGGTAATTTCCAGTAAGCTTCATATTGATGAACTGACGCATTGTATACGTCATGGACATTATGTAGTGATTGTCTAAAATTGAAACATTTAACAATGTCAGTGCCTCCAGGAAACAATTTGTTTCTCAATCGCTCAGAGTCCAGATTTTCTGTACAAAGAATGGGCTGTTTTCAACCAGGCTCATGGTCTTTGTTCTATAGAAAATGGACAGGAAATAGGGAGCATGGCCAGAGACCAGGAATTCAACCCAAGACAATGATATCAAAAACTACAGTTATGTGCAAAACACTGGACATGTTGCTATGACATCAAAAATGAGGCTGCTATTCTGCACCATTAGCCCTTCTGACTACCACCAGCAGGCAACGTGGGTGAAGTGTCTTGTCCAAGGACACACCAACAGCAGCTATCCACCAACAGCAGCGCGAACTCCTGCCACCATCGACAGCATCACTCCAACTAATATACACCTGGTACACAATATTTTGCTTGTCAGGATAGGAAAATTGCCTTGCTGACTTAATTCAATAAAAGGAATGACAACCCAAATTTGAAGACAACCAAGTGGGGTTGGAAGAATAAACATAGAAAACAATAAAAGGTCAGGGAGGAGGATAAAGGGGTTCTAGAGAGATGGGCCAATGTATTTTTGCTTTGAAAATTCTTGGCATTGTTGTAACTTTTCAATTTCCTGATGAGCAGAATTTTGGGTTTTCATTAGTTTTTAGCACTAATCATTCAAAAGTAGCAGTAAACCTTTACAATATATCGGTTCAGCCTTTTGATTTGAATTACTGAATTAAATCAGATTTGAAGTGATTTTCTACTTTAATGAGGTGCACCTGTACGTCACAGTTGTCATACAGACACTTGATTGGAGCATCACAACATATACGTTTGTTTCTATAGGCCGAGAAGAAAAAAGAGGAGGAAAAAAAGACAACCCCACTCTCCAGTCGAAGAATGTTCCCGTTATCATGTCTGACTCCCAGTGTCCCTTCAACCAGTGCTACTTCTTCTTACTTGAGGCAGACAATACAGGCTCAAATAGAACCCAAACCCTTCCAGACCAGTTTTGACCTGGGTACCAGCTCTGCAACCCAGAGATTGTCTACAACACTCGCCAGCTATAATCCAGTTATTAACGGTTCAGGCTACCATGGACTGGAGCAACAGTGCGTTGGAAAAGTAGGACACAACTCATACCTTGGAATGAACCAACAGGTGGCTGGAGCTGGAAGTGACTCTGGCTTATCAGCATCCCAGAGTGGAGGGGCAGACAGCTCTACTTACCATGGAATAAACCACCAAACACCCGGCAGTGCAGAGAGTTCTGGATACTTTGGAGTGACCACAGGGTGTTTGGGTAGTTTGCAAAATCATCTAGGTGCTGGTAAGTTAGGCAGTTCAGGGAACATAGCTCAGCAGCCAAGCAGTGGCGGTATGGTAAGCCCTAGCTTTTTGCCTCAACAAAATATGGGCAGTTCTGGATATTTGGCCCAACCACAGAATTTGGGAAGTTCAGGATATCTTGGACAACAATCTAATATGGGAAGCTCCGGATATTTGGCACAGCAGCCTAATCTGGGGAGCACTGGGTATTTGGCCCAACAGTCGAATTTGGGTAGTTCTGGGTATTTGGCACAGCAGCCTAATCTAGGGAGTTCTGGATATTTGGCACAACAGCCTAATCTGGGTAGTTCTGGGTATTTGGCACAACAGCCTAATCTGGGTAGTTCTGGGTATTTGGCACAACAGGCTAATTTGGGGAGTTCAGGATATCTACCGCAGAATTACCAGGGCAGTGGTGGAACGGGAAGCTCGGGCTTTTTGGCACAAAATCATTACAGCAGCGGTAGTCTGGGCAGCTCTGGTTTCCTGGCCCAGAGTGGAGGCATCATGGACCCTAAAATGGCATACGCATGGCAGCACCTGAAAGCTGACTTCATGCAGCCCAGGATCAACCACATCCACAAAGCTATAAATCCTCTCTTAGAGGCCAGTAGACTGCAGCGAGAACAGTTCGGAGACATCCCAATGGCAGATATGGTGGGACCAGAATCAGGACTGGAGCTTCTCCACGGCCGTCTCCAGAGGGATCCCCGCGGCAGTCGCTCAGATCCACAGATGGATCATCTGAGGCGGGAAAGGGAGTACAAGCTGGGCAGACAGACCTCTAGTGAACAGGAAATCCAGGCCAGGCTGAATGAGCTACCGCTGATAGTGCGGCAAGAACGCTACAGGAGGCGCATAGAGCGGCAGTCGTCCAGTGAACAAGAGGGGAGCAACAAGCAGAGGATACAGAGACAGGACTCCAGTGACATGGAGGGCTCTGTGAAGGACGGCTCTGACAAACGCTCAGGGTACGCAAACTTGTGCAACTGCAGGCAGTAAATTCCAGCACTGAACAATCCCAAAAGATTGTTGAGATTCTTCAATAATTGTGTCCCTACAGGGAGAAGAGATCTACGATGGCAGAAATTGTGGAACAAGTCCAGGAAAGAGAGGCGGCACATGTATGTCGGCATGCAAGCATTTTTAAACGACGACTTGTTGGGCCATTCCTTCTCATAATTTGGTGGAACTATTTTTCTTTCAATTGGCTCTCTCAGGCACGTGGCGAGCCTTATCGTCCTCCTAGCAGCCTCTCAGCACCTGTAACTCGTTTTGATGGACGCCCCCGCGCCCGAGACCGTCCCAAGCCAAGGAGGCGGCCCCGTCCAAAAGAGCCTGAGACTACTCGTCGTTCTCGTTCGGCCCCGGCAACAGGTGCCCCAACCACACCTCAGCCTCCATCACACACTGCCCAAAATGAAGGCTTCCTCTACCGTAAAAAGGCCACCAGCACTGACCTTGAAGCTCAGCAGAGGAGCCCTAACAGGTACAACCATCTAAACTACTAGATTATCAATGACTGTTTGATAAAAATTTTTAAAAAAACTCCCAGTATTCAGTACTAATGCTATCCATTAGTAATAATAATCTATTTGTCACAGTAGAAAGTGTCTTAGCACTACTGCAGAAGCTAACCTCCTTTGTCTTCCTTATGTCCTCCCTTGAGGGCACAACCAATCAGTGCCAAGGAAAATAAATGCTGCTCCTGGATTGGCTGTTTTGCAAACACCAGACACTTTTGTGTCATGTTGAAAATTATCCCTCGGTGTTTTAACTTCCCAAACTGCATTTTCATTTGAATATTTAGAATATATCCTACAAACCCCCCCCCAAAAAAAACTAGTAAATAAAATAAATGAATAGGTGAATATTTTTGCAAATAATGTTCAGAAAGGTTCCACAGAAGAATCTGCGAATACTGAACTGGATATATGAGGGGCTCCACTGTAATTACAAGATTACAGTAGTTTTAGTAGTACTCTGGACTCCCACTCCTTACTGTCTCAAACTGGAGATAGCTTAAGTCTCTGTCTATCAATGATCTTTCACTGTGAGCCACATTGTAAAGGTGTGAAAACTCTTTGCTTCACATTCATGTCTGCAAATATGATTAATCTGTTTTACAGAAACAAAGCCTTTGAGAATTGTCTTCTTTTTTTTCCAGCTAGCTCCTGTTCTCCAAACAGACATGGAGTTTGAACCTTTGAAAATGCATTGTTTATGATTTTTGCAGCAAATCATGGGTGAACGTATACTGTGTGCTGAAGGAGGGAAAGTTGACTTTCTACAAGGACACTAAGAATCTGACTGCAACATACAACGGGGAGCCTTCTGTTGACATGAGTGACTGCAAATTTGATCCTTCAATGGGCTACAAGAAGAAGAAAAATGTCTTCATACTTCAGTAAGACCTATATCAGAAGTTATTGTCTCTATAAAACTGAACGTTAACATTTCAAACTTTATTTAAAGCACAGTGTTATCTGAAACACAGCTTTGAAAATACATAGTGAAATATATATGAAACTGACACGAACTCTTTTTGTCTTTTCTATTCAAAGAGTAAACGATGGAACCAACTTTGTATTCCATGCTAAAGATGAGGTAAGAACCTTTAATACATCCATATTATGTATTTTAGATATGTTTTACATATACGCTGACCTAGCACAGATGTTTGGTGTAAAATAAGAAACACTGAAATTAATAAAATCTATCTGGAGAGTGGGTGATGATTGACTTTATTACAAACAATTTATGTTTTTCTCTCTTATTGAAGAGAACTCCCATGATTGGCCTGGATGAATGTTTTACTCTCTTAGTTGAGAGAGAAAAACATTCTCCACAAAGGTTTTTTTTGTGGGGTATTCCTATGATTTACCATGACAAATTACCCTCCGGTAACTTCCAGAGGGTAAGTTACCAGATTAGATCAAAAGGTGATTCTAAAATTAGATCAAAAGGTGATTCTAAGGTCATTAGGTTTCAGCCAATTAAACTTCTACCTTCACATTGCCAAAGTAATAGTGGTCTCATGTAATTCAACCTGGGTGGCAGATACAGAAAGTGGCTTGGGCATACAGATTTTTGGCTGTAGATACATGGAATGTCTCTTCAGTGGACAACAAAAGTATCAAATGATGTAGGAGGCTGAGTGATGGCAAGTATTTGACCTCAACTAGAAAAAAACAATTTCTGAGCTTCTCTTCAATGGCTGAGTGTGTCTTTGATAGGCTGGTGAAAGCCAGTCCATAGTTCTACAGTTTGCTTTGTACAGAGGGTCTATTTAGTAACAATTGGACGCTAAAGGAAGTTTGAAATGACAGGATCTGATCATACTCAATCACTAACATATGGCCGTGACATACCAGCATGATTGTGAAGGAAGCTGCGCTATGAAGCTCACCAGAAATTCTCTCTCTGTGGTGCTGAATACACCAATACAAAAGAAATTGACATCATCATTCACAACTCCTCCTTCTGCTTGCTGATTGGCCTGGATGAAATTCACCTTGAGAAATCAGGCTCAAAGGGCAAACTGCAGAATTGTGTAGGAAGGCAGTGATCAGGCTACCTCATGGTAGGAGTTTTTTCTGTTAACAAAATGGTCAATGCTGAATGGTCTCAAGGAAAAGTTCTGATGCTCGGCACTGCACTACATCATAGGTTGTCCAGTTCTCTTGGAGCCTCTTAGAACATCTGGACATGACAAATGGTAAATGGCCTGGACTTGTAAAACGTTTTTATCAAGTCCAGAGAAGCAAGTCTTCCCCAAGGACACAATGACAGAGACAGGTGGAGCGAGAATCAAACTCTCAACACCGTTGCTGCTATTGTCCCATCAGCTTTATAACTTCCCTCAGGAATTTTAAAACAAATGAGGCATTGAAGAGAATTACATTTTATGGCGTGGTTTGGAGAAACCTTTGTCCGGAAGTAAATCTGGATGAATGGATAAAGGGTTGAGGTTCGTAGTTTGTCATGTCTACTGTTTCCTCAGTTTCTTGATCCAAGCCTCAACCAGTTGTTCCCAGTTACAAAATAGCCAGGTACAAAACATTTTAGAAAGAACCCTCACTAAACCTTCCGGGTTTACAGGATCCCATCAATCTTGCGTTACAGCCTCCCTTTCCTTTCCAGACCTCAGAAATACATTCAGTTGTCTTCTGCAGGAGGACCTGAAGGCGTGGACCTCAAGTATCTCCACAAGTATTGCTGAGCATGACGACCTGGCCAAGTGGGACAAACCTGGCACCTCGTCCATGGACCCCGATCGCTCGGAGAGGAAGGAGAAGTCAGAGGGGGACGCGGATGCCAGGTCAGAGAGGTCCGAGCTGGTGGAGGGGGAGGAGAGGTCCGAGAAAGGCGAGGGCTCCGAAAAGCTAGACACATCTGAAATTGCTGACAAGCTGGAGGGTGGGGCGGGGGGCTCCAGCACATCTGGCAGGAGCAAATGATCAATCCCTTTGTGTTATCATGTTATTGTTAAATGTCACCAACAAAAGGCAAAGGAAGCAGGGGGTGGGAGGGAGGGATAGGTGGAGAGCATGTTTGCAGACCCTCTGTCACAGAGGCTAAAAACCCTCTGAGGCCTCGGTTCCTGGACTGACTGCTGTAACTGTGACCAGACTAATCTCTCAGCCCCTCCCCTTCACCCGGGCAATACATCCGTGCTTGCATAGTGCCACCTGCTGGTTGATAACGGAGATCAAGTCCAGACAGACAGACAGACAGTCTCCAACAAATTGTCCCAGGAATTAGTCACTGTCACTTTCCATTGCTGATTGTTTGATCTAATGAATTCACAGCATCTTTCTGTATGTATCTCTGAAAATGTAATGCTCTGTCTAACGAGACAAATCCGAGAAGCGGTGAATGAAATGTTTCACGTCAATATGGAGGAGAAAAAAAATGGGTTTTTTTGGGGGGGTTTTTGTTTGTTTTTTGAAGCAATATACTTTGTTTTTATTTTTCCTCTTTGCCAATGAAACAAAGAGGGGATGAAACAAAAAGTCATTTAAAAAAAAAAAAGCTACGATTTGTCTCTTAAACTTCCTCAAGGCGGTTGTGCACCTTACCACTTGACACATCTGTACAGTAGACATGACATTTATCCCCATCACATGGCTAGCTTTGGATCATGTTAATATATTGGAATGCTGGTGTCACCACCTTACTTCAGTGGAGTCAGTGAAAACACATTTCTACCGTTTCATTTTGGTTTATATTACGGCAATTATTAAACTTATTTGTCCACAATGTTTTATGTGTCAAGAAAAGAGATTCCAACAAAATTCCAGCCCATTAACCCGAGGTGTGTAACACTAAGCCTATGAGACACAATGCCTTTGTATACATGACAAAACTTGGAACATTGCATGAAATGGTCTGTTACTGCACCTGTTAAACTTGCCTTTATTTTTCTGATCTTGTCACAGAACAGGCGACGAGGGAGTTGCAATAATTTAACGTGAGCTCGGGTCAAGAAGGGGGCGGAGTCGAGAGGGACGTTTCAAAAGCAGGGTTCGTCTTTTGCCTACTGAGCAACAACAATAAAAAAATGAAAAAACAACAACAAAAAACCCGGAGGGGCGCGCTGTTTGGAACGCGGACACAGCAGCGATCCGAAGCCCAAACGGCCCCTCTGCTGTCTGTAATTTGTTAGTGCAAATTTAGTTTCCACAGAATGTACTGATATCAGCTGTGAAATGTTCAATCGCCTCCAGACGAGAGTCGGTGGCGCCCTAAATTGTAAACGCCCTTAAGTCGTGCTCTTTGCCCCGTGTGCTTTCATTCAGTGTTTAAACCGATTGAAGCCTCTCCACCAAAAGGCAAGTTCATTGGAAAAACTGTCATGAATTGTATATACCTAACTTTGTATGTATACCAGTAAAACCTGTGCTCTAAATAAAACAACTCTGAGCTCATAACTGAAGTGGGTAAAACCTAAGCATTTATTTTAAGCCACAAAGAGAACCATGTATTGATGTTTATCACATTTAAATGACAAATATGCAAATTAGGACTCACTATTAATTCTCATAGAGTGTATATATAAATACACCAGTACAGTATCTAGTTCTATTTAAAAAGAGAAAAAAAAATCACCAGGGAGGAGCAGCAGGACATCCTGTTGGTATGCTTCTGGTATTTTTCTAAGCCTATATTTATTCATGTCAGATTCAGGTTTTGGTCATGTCAGATTTTGACCCTAAGAAGATCTGGTTGATGTAGCTGATTGAGTGTGTCTGTGACAGAAGAGCTAAATGTGTGTGTTACAAACCTACCCAGCCTGCTGCAGGTGGTCCAAGGTATGGTATACTGTGAATGCTGAGACGAATAGGCATCGGTCCACTTCTTGTTTGTCGTGTGAGATTTATTTTTCTTTCTTTCCTTCCTTTATTTATTTATTTTTACACACGTGAGTACAAATAAACTTTCTGTAACGTTGATATGACGATGTGGTTTGAATTGCAGTATCACAGGAGCGCCACAGCCATTGTGCAGAAATGGGGCGGCAGCAGCTCTGATCTTTTTCTCTTGTTATGCTGTGTCCCATCCAACCCATCCTGCACCTCTCCTGCGTAAAAAAAAGAAAAAAACACACAAGGAAAAACAAGAAGAAAAAAAAAGGCTTCTAAAATAAATGTCTTCCTTTCAAAGATGGAACACCAAAAGTACATGCGAGATGCAGCACCGTTTGAACACGCTGACATGAGGATCGTGGTGCATCTCTCTACACTGCTGTCATTTTCGACGAGGATTAGAATCCATTGCTTTTATTTGTGAGCTATTGTTTAGGGTTTTTACATAAGTGCCATGTCATGCAGTCTGCTCTAACCGTGCTTCACAAGGAGGTCGTTCTAATCCACTGGAAACGCGACCGGCAGCCATTGTGAAACGTATTTTTTAACAGAATTAGGAGCATTTTCCTGTGGCTGTGATTGTCCTGGTTTTTTGTGGCAGATATTAAGGCCACACCAACATGTGCATTTGAAGTGTTTGCTTCCCGCCACTTTTATGAAACACACTTTTATTTACCACTATGTTAAAACAGAGAGCCAGAATTAGTTAGGCAGCATAAACCATGACTGAAGACAGAAATATTGTGCAAACTTTGTTGACTTTATTGATGGTCTTACAAGTGTGTATGTCTTTGTTACTTTACAATACAACTTGCTGCTATGACATTAAATAAACCTACAAACTTGCTGAGACAAACTTGATGTGGAATTGATGTGGATGAACCTGCAGGTCTCTCTCTCCCTCTTTCTTTCTTTCTCTCTCTCTCTCTTTCTGTCTCGCACACACAAGTTTGCATTTCTCCCCATGTTAAAACTTTGCATTCACTTCCATTCGTTTTAGTATGCATTTATGCCTAACCCAGGCAGTTTCCCCTTATCATTACCAGTCTATTCCTAACCCCTAAATCAAGGGATGCGACCGGACTTTGGTTCCTATAAGGCCCATCAGTCTTCAGAAGCTTAGTAAATATGTCAGAAATAGAAACAAGTACACACACACACACACACTAAGTGACCCCCAGACTTCCAGCGCCTGCCACACCACATGGTATAAGCGCGTTTCTGTGGCCAGCTCCCTCAATAGGCCTGCATCCGTCTGGTGATCACATCTTGGGGCCTCACAAGACATTCCCAAAGAAACCAGGAGGAGATTACATAGGAAGTTCAGAAGTGGTCTGATAGCACCGGGACCAATCAAGCAAAGTTAGGCCGCCACTAGCAGAGGAAGACTCCAAAGACCCATCAGACCAGCTATGACTCCCAAGCAGAAGTCACTAAACCCGCAATGGGATAACCCAAATCCCTTAACTCCCTATTGTCCCCCACCGCAGGGCAGAACCCAAAAGCCCAAGTACCCCTACGGTCAGGACCACCTCTGTGCCAGCATCTCCACACCCCTCAAGCTCCTGATGTCATGGTGACAAAGTCTATACCTGCTACACCACTGAGTGGTGTTTTATTTATTAACCAATTCAGACATTCTCTCCACCGAAACATTATACAAAATAAACCACATTTGTGTCTTTTTGTTTTTTGAGTCTTTTTTTCTTGTTTTTATTTTATTTTTAATTTCTTGCAAACTGTTGTTTTCCAAATCCAGCTTTATGAGGTTACAAAGTAACCAGAATGAGGGGTAGCCTGTCAAAGGGATGACGGGTTTTCAAAGCCCAGAGACAGACAAACGGTCCCAGAGAGCACGTCGATGGCGCTCAGGTAAATCTCACTTCCTGTGTGTTTCACTGGGAGCTTTTCATTGAGTGTCTATCTGTTCCCAGATTTCAGACTTTTCCACAGTTAACTTTGGTTACTATATATTGCAGATACTCAACTGTTTGCATCTTTCTGAATACATGACCCCATCTGTAAGACGTGATTCTGGTATCATCATGGCAAAGCTCATATAGGCATGATACTTGAAGCTATAACTGCAGCCAAGGCTGGTTTTATAAAAACTAAGGGGAGTGAAATACAAATGCAAACCATGTTTTCTGGGTTCTGATTTAAAGATATTTTTGTCAAAACATGAAAAACAAATATATATAAAAATAAAAGAGTTGTCATCATCACGTTCTGGGACTATGTTGCCTTGCTATTCTTTGTCTGCGTAAAACATTTTCTGGTTTTATGCAGGATATGTGTTTTTTGGATGCAGCATTCTGAGTTTTTCCCGTGCAGCTGCTACCGAAAGATCACCAATTCGGCATTCATGCTGTGCCGCAGAAACAAAATGCGAAGAGCCATGTAAATAATTCATGTGAATAAAAATAAAGGTTCATGCTCTAAACTGAAGCAGCAGCAGTGATGCAGGGTTCCTCCACTGAACAGAAATATTCATCTGCAGCCCAAATGCCAAACAATCTGAGCTAAGTTCTGGGAACGTCTATTTTTAATTTTTGATCTTTGGATTTAGACATTCAAACATTTGTGTATGGAAAGAATAAAAAAGTTGGAAAAAAAATTGTTTTCCTCCTTACACCCAGTTTGCAGTAAAACATTATTAAAACCTGTAAGAGGCTGACGGATTTGAGACGGAGCAGGAGGTTCACTGCAGTAGGATGATGATCAGAACATTATTGTTAAAATGGCCCAGTCAAACCCCAGACTTGAATCTAATTGGGTATTTTTACTCCACGTGCATCATCTCCAAGGCCACAGCCGATGCTGCCGGAGCAGAGTTCACAGAGATCGGTCCCTCGGACCGATCTTTCAAACATCCATCTGTGTGTAATCATTCACTACAATGTGTTTAGTTATGATAAATTGATTTTTTAACAACATCCTGGCTCTTGTAATGATGGATCTCTAATTGTTAGAGCTGATCACCATAAACAAACACAGAGCTCAAACAGAAACCTTTCCTGACTCCTAACTACTTTCAGAACTACTTAACCTGGTGAGCATCATGCGAGTTGTTTACTCTGCTGACGTCAAAGTGGGCGTTCCGTGACTCGGTCGCCCGCTGACGGCGCAGCTACGGAAGCCGCCGCGTTTGCGCAACAGGGCAGCCAGCGAGCTTCCTGAAAATGGCCAGCTGGGGAAAGTTCGCCGTCGCCTTCCGGAGCCTGGCCCGGAGCGCCCGGGTTCCGAAGACCAACGCCGCGTTCCGCGCGGTCGGTCCCGCTGTTCTGGGCTCCGTCGTCGGAACCGGGGCTCTCTGCTACTACCTGTGCCACCATGAAGACGTCAGGACTTCACCCTTCGCTGTTCTTGCAGAGGGAGAAAAGGTGAGTGCGTTTGTTTGGACAGAAAACACTTCTCCGCTTCATTCGTTTTCCGCTCCGAAAGACGAACACCAGCTGCGTAAAAGAAGAGGGCTTCGCTTTTACAGAAGGCGTAAACACCAAGCGATGTCACCTGGCGCCCCCTAGCGGCGCCTGTAGAACACAGCGTGTGAAAACCACCAGCTTGTCTTCATTTAGAGTTTATGGGCAGAATATCAGCCTAAGATTAAAAAGGAACACACTTTGGTTAAAGTTTATTTTAAATCTACTTGTAGCTTGATGTTCCTGTGTCGTTCAGGTAAAAACTGCGCGCCTGGTGGGGGCCACAGAGTTTGGTGTTTAGATCAGAAACTCTCAGGTCATTTTGTTTGCAGGAACCTGCAGCTCCTCAGCTGTCTGCCAGAAAGGTACGTTTCATCCAGTTTGCCTCAGTGACGTACGACATGGAGCCCTACATGACCCCCAGGGACTTCCTGTTCTCTGTCATGCTGGAACAAGTAGATCGTAAGCTGCACACGTTTACCACACACACACACACACACACACACCTTGTCCCTGCTCACAAGCTGCACTTCAGTCTCATCTTTTTGAATCTCTCTCAAGATAATTCATCTTTCAAGATGCAGTTTGCTGTCAGCGTTTGAAAAACAACGCGGTACTTATCGAAGAGCAGATGGGATTTCCAAACAAAGCAAATAAATTTGCTTCGTAATCAGTCGTCATGAATGTTGCAGGTTGCCATTGTTCAACTTGGATTCAGAAAAATAAAACTAAAATCATTCCTACCTCCATAATTCTTATTTTTTAGAGTATCACCATGTGTTGACCAGGGCTGCTACTATATAATTATTCTACTATCAGAATAATTGATTAGTTGGATCACTAGATTATTTGATTACTCTGTCAATTAATCTGATGAGTAATTGATTAGTTGGATAAAAGAAAATAAAAAAAAACATTGGAACATTTTGCAGAATTTTCATTTGCCCACCTAAGCCTTTTTTATACAATATTAGAAATGTGCTAAAAGATGAAAAGCATATTTTTATTTTTAATAATAATAACAAAATAAATTTTCAGTGTATCATTTGTAGTAAAAGATGCATCGGCAACAAAAGAAACACTTCTAACATCCACAGTTGAAAAGCAACTTATTGTTATTATCATTTTTTGCTTCATTAGCATCAACACTCAGTTTGGCCTGTTTCTGTTTTTAGGGAAGCTCCAAAAGAGAATCTTAACAACCGAGGTATGTTAACAGTGTCACTGTGTGAAAACGCTGCATGCGGAGCCCAGTGTGGTGACGCCGTCTGTCTCCCGCTGCGCTCTCGGCAGGACGTGAACAAGATGCTGGCGGTTGCCTCTAGAGCTCGTCCCAGCAGCGAGTTGTTCAGAAACCTGGGAGACAACGGTGAGCCTCCTGCCGCACACCTGAACCTTTCTGTGGTGATGTTTTGTTTTTGCTTCTGTCGGCTAGTTTCTGTTTAACTAAAGACTGTAAAGTGTGTGTGTGTGTGTGCCTTGCAGGTTTAATATCCTACACAGAGTATCTCTTCCTGCTGACCATCCTGACCAGTAAGTTGACTTTGCCGTGTTTATGATGGTTTTATTTGAAGCAGGACAATCTGTCAGCAGCTTTGCTTCCATTGACTATGTGCATATTGGACTTCGGGAGATAAATTATCTAATGGAAACACTCCAGTTACAAAAAAAACAAAAACACATTTTTCTTTTTCTTTTTTGCCAAAACAATTTTTACACTTGATGATGTACTGACTTCCTGATGACAGAGTTTCAGAAAGAAAAAGGTCTTTAATAGAGACAGAGGGACAATTTCAAAGCATTAAATTACAAAGTCAGGTTTCTTTAGTCGTATTTGATGTCTGTAGCATTTTTACATCGACCGAAGATGACCAAACAATGTCAGTTTTTATTTTTAAAAAACTTGAAAATTGAAAAAAGACCTCAGAAATTTTGAGATCAATCTCGGAAATTTTCTAGGAAGGAATTTGGAAATGTCTGCGTTTCAAAAATCCAAAGTTTTCCTTTCTAGAAAATTTATCTCAGAATTTCCAAGTTTTCTCCAGCAAATATTTTGACTTTTTACACTGAAATTTCCAGGTTTTCTTTCTATAATAAATGTAAATTTCTTCAGAGGAGATGTCCTCCTCTCCATTTTCTATCCACAACGGTCCCAATAGGCCGTCGTAGGCAACAAATTCCTGACTGAGACGACCGTCTCCTTTCTCTCTCTCTCTCTCTCTCAGAGCCGCTGACCGGCTTTCACATCGCTTTCCAGATGCTGGATGTGGACGGCAACGAGCAAGTGGACAGAAAAGAGTTTCTCACGGTGAGGCTTTGCTTTTCTTTTCAGACGTCAAACTCTGAGTCACGATATCAGTATTTCAAATGTTTGTGTGCACTCAAATGTGAATATATTGCCACTTTAATGCTGCCGAGAGCTCTGCCGACGTTGCCGCAGCCGTAAGTATGACCCAGGCTCCACGCGAAGGTGAGGGAGAGCTGCATCCCGGTCGCTCGGCCGTTCTTCGTCTGCTTTGTCTCAGGAAGCTTTTCGGTTTTATCCGTCTGTTTGAAGCCACCTGACGTGTTTCGTGTTCCAAGCAGACTTCTCCGCCCTGCCGCTTAAGCTCAGGCCTCGGCCGCCTGCTGTCTCGTCCGAAGGCATGTTGGCCTGTGTTGCAACTTGTGTCTCGTGTTGCAACGTGGCGCAGAAAGAGCAAAACATCCAGCAGGAAGCAGCAGTGCATGGATTTTTGCTTTGACTTTTTATTTATTTATTTTTTAGTTAAATGCAACCTCAGTGAAACTTTATTATCCATTCTATTTTTGGTTCTGGTTCTGTGTGTGATTTCCAGTTGCTTTTTATGTGTTATTTTGGATATTCAATATAATTTTCAGTTCCAGTGTTAAGTGTCCTAAATAAAGTAAATTTCATTGGTATTCGAGAGAGCAGACGTGCATCGTTATGCCGGTATCGTTATAACACGTCGACATTTATGGCAAAAGTGTTAAAAGTCCAAAGGGTGTGAATACTTCTGCAAGAAAAAGTCTTGCTAGGTAGATTTAGCAAATGTAATGTTGGTATCGAGCTGGATGAAATGTGTGTGTGTGTGTGTGTGTGTGTGTGTGGGTGTGTGTGTGTGTGTGTGTGTGTGTGTGTGTGTGTGTGTGTGTGTGTGTGTGCGGGGGGGGGGGTGAGAACACATGAAGTTTCTATATGTTTCAAGTTCTTGACAAAACTGAATTGAATGAATGAAAAATGTTTTCATTGTCTGCCAAAGCTCAAGAACATCATCGGCAAGAGCAAACCGAAGCGTCTGAAGGACGTGGCAGAGGTGTGTGCGAACATCTTACCAGTTTTTCTCGTGCGTCGTCATCCGTTGCTGTAGTAACAGGACGATTCGTGGATGATTGCAGAAATCGGCAGAGGAAGCGGCGGTGGTGAACACGTCCCTTCAGGCGTACTTCTTTGGAAAGAGAGGAGACAACAAGCTGAAGTACCAGGAGTTCCGCAGGTAGGAGAAGCTGTCATGGTTCTGATTCTGCCGGGATCTCGTCAAGTCGCCCGACATTTTGGACGGAGATGGTAATGGCACAAAATTCCTTGCAATCATTTCTGAAGTTGTGCCTCAGAGTAAGTGACCTTGATTTCAAAAACTTACAAAACAATGGCAGAATCCCAGAGGGACAGATTCTTGAATGCATAAATATCACCAGATTTTTTTTTATGTTCTCATCCGTTTAAACGTCAATCTGAGAGATTTCTGGGTTTTGGCTGGGCTTTTTTTCCCACCATCACCAACTGTGTTTCCACTACATACGTGCACAAAACGTTGTTTCTATTCTAATGTGGAAACGATCTCTGTTGCTCAGATTCATGGAGGACCTGCAAGCTGAGGTCCAGGAGATGGAGTTCCTGCAGTTCTCCAGAGGCATGGACACCATGAGGAGGGAGGACTTCGCCGAGTGGCTGCTGCACTACACCAACGAAGAAGACAACGAAGTCTACTGGGAGAACATGAGGAAGAAGATCCCTGCCGGTCAGGTACGGAAACGTCGTCCGGATGAGACTCCTGCGTGGATCAACAGTCAACAGGCGCGTTTCCCTTCCAGAGCATCACATTCGAGGAATTCAAAGCCTTCTGCCTGTTCACCAACAACCTGGAGGACTTCGCCTTCTCGATGAAGATGGTCTCCGAGGCCAACCGTCCTGTGGGGATGGGTAAGGCCTCGCCGTCGGATCGAAACGGGCAGACACGGTTCATCCAGCGCATGAGGGCGACCTCCCCGTTCTCTTGATCACATCTTGATTACAGACCAGTTCAAGCGAGCCGTGAAGATCGCCACGGGCCACGAGCTGTCGGAGAACGTCCTGGACACGGTGTTCAAACTCTTCGACATGGACGGAGACAACCGCCTGAGTCACAAGGAGTTCATGGGAGTCATGACGGACAGAATGCTGCGGGGTCTGAAGGTGAGCTTCCACTTTCGTTTTCCTTCATTTATACGAAGTAGCTTTTTAACGCCAGCTCTGATTAGTGCGGTTTTCTGGCGGATCAACCAGACTTTGAAAAGCCTCACCTTTTTTGTCTGCAAAAGTCACTAAGTCAACACCAGTGGGTCGACTATTGTAATCCAAATCAAATGTTACTTTTTTTTTATATGTGTGTGCAACTTTTCTGGTTTTTAAATGCCATTGGATTTTTATTCCAGGATACATCGGAATTAAAAGTAAGTAGTTGAGAGGCGACACGTTCAGCTTCACCTCCTCCCTCTGTGCCCTGACTGCAGGTGCAGCACCAAACCGGCATCTCTGGCTACTGGAAGTGCGTGAAGAGAGAGACCCTGAAAGGGGCCAAGGAGGCCCTGGGAGACAACAGCTGCCCCATCTGACACGTCCGCCACTGCATATAGTTATGTTTTATATTATTAAACAAACGGTGTGAGTGGGAGTCTACATCTATGCACATAAAAATATAGGATAATACCACTGCCTTATCTGGACTCTGTGGAGCTCGTTTCTGTCATCACAGAGAAAAATCAATGCCCAAGAAAAAAAGAAAATGACAAGAACTCATAGTTTTGACTTTCATGATTATGAGAATCAGTCATATAAAGACAATTATGAGATGTAAAGTCATAATTATGTGATACTGGAGCAAGCCTCCTTTGAGAAACAGCACGACTATCGAGCTCACAATTTGAACGTCTTATTTTGAAAGTTGAAACTCTTAACTTTGACTCATAATTATGAAGTTGAAAGTAGAAACTCCGATTTTTCGACTTCCTGTTGGGCTTTGAAATTTCTTTCATGGCAGGAATGAGCTTCCGTAGGAAAAAACGCCTTCACGCTCCAGCTAAAGTGTAACATTTTGTCATTTACAAGCGTTTCCACTGATCACTTTTGCATTCAGGATATATACATATATATACGTTTGTACTCTCTGTATTTGAAACGAGTGCATGTTTACAGGGCCGGGGGATTTTCATGTTTCTCATCGACGTTCAAATAAAGCTTCCCCAGAAATCCACCCGGAGTTTTAACCCTTTGAAATCAGCAGCAGAGGAGTAAAGCAGCTGTGACTATTTAGTCCTTTATTGTAGAATTGACCTGTTCAGATCACATAAGTGTGGGTTAACCATTCGATGTGATGCTAATTATCTTACCATACATAATTCAAAAAGTAAATAGACAAAACAAGCATACATCTGTGATAGATGGACTAATTAGTGACTGATGCCAAAGGTTATCAGTGAATACAGCATACACAGCTACAATAAAATTACACTGAGCATGAAGCCATCTTTGGTCTTCTTATCACTATAAACAAATACATAGAAATTTGTATTGTATCAAAAATAGAAATTACATAGCCATATTGAAAGGAAGTTCACATTTGAAACATACAACAGAAGAATACCTACGAGACATAATGTGGGATTACATTTTTTTTTTTTTTTGCACTCCTTGGCTTTAAGGACCAAATGGGGTTTTTTGTGTTCGACATTCGATTTTTGTTTTTTTTTCCTTCCTTTTTTTTCTCTCCAAAGAAGTGCATCGCTTTAGCCAAGTCATCGATCAATAGCGCTGTTCCGCATCGGTTTAATACACAACGCGACAAACCAAGAAGGAAAACAAAAACAGACACAAAAACAAACAGGAGAAAAAATTTAAAAAAATAAAAACACAAATCAGATTGTCAGACAAACGTGTGCTTTCTGTCCTGGGCTGTTCGAGCCACGCGGCGAGAGGAAGAACGGCCGATCTGAGCCTCTTCCTCACCGGTGACTTTCCTTGTCTTTACGAACTGATCCTGGTTTAGTTTGTCCTCCCGGAGCTTCGGACTTACTCTGCTTGTAGAGGCACGCTTGATGAAATGCAGCCAAAGTGGACCTCTGCTTGAGATAAAAAGGGAAGTGCTTTCAAAGTGTTTGATCCCCTGGAGAGAAAGAAAGGACAGATGGAAAACTTAATCATTTGGAAAATAAAAAACAAAAACAAAACAGGCTATTTAGTTTCACAGGTCGGTTTCAGGACAAATGCTTCATTTCACTATGATTTCCTGGCAGCCATTCTCATGATAAAACAAAGCCAAGTGAAAGCCTGCATGGAGGGAGGCAACGGAAGAAGAAAGAAGAACGGACGGACCGATTTAGTTTTTATGTTTTCTGGTTTTCGACGTGTGGCACTTTGTGTTGCCCGAATGTCAAACTGAGGCCCGACAGACAAACTTACACGAGCCGCAAGTAAGTCACTTGATACACAAATGTAGAACTTTGAAATTTGGGGGGATTTATTTCCAATGTAATGGACACAGAGAGGAAAAAGAGGAGAAATGGTGGAAGCGGGAAGGTTTTAAAAGGAGATTGGAGTCGAGGAGGGAAATATACATAAAATATTGGTAAATACCATCACTGATCAGTTTTGTTTCTCTGACTTTGAAGATTTGAATGCCAGAATGTAAAAGTGCTTCATAAATAGAGTGTACCTTTATCAATCGACACCTGACAAGGGCATTGATAGAACATTTAAATGACTGGACATCAGTCAATTAAAAATAACTCAATTTACATTCTGATTAATTTTTGTTTTGAAGGAAAATTTGTTTACAGGCACTTCATAATCAATTTTGCTTATGGTTTTGATTGTGTGCTTCTCATTTCTGTTTTACTTTTTTTGTGTGTTTTGCTTTATACAATATGTTCCCGTTCTAGTGTTGCTTGTTCTTTATAGAGTTAAAAGTTGTTGGTTTTTCTCAGGGCAAATTTCCATTATTATCTCAGCAGTATTTGTCTTGCAAAAATGCAATATTATTGCGATTAGCAATGATATTGCTAATCGCAATACTTGCAGGGACAATTTGTTGTCCATCAAAATTTGCTATTGTGGCAGATCCAACCCTGAATAAAGAAAAAATAAAAACTAGTCATGAACCATCTTCATATTTGAATGGATGCATATTTCTCCAATTATTCAAACAAATCATTGATGAAAATTTGTGATGTTTAAAATCAAAACTAAATGCCACTGAAATCCATAAAATCAATTAATTCATCCGTTCAAGCCATTTTTTTATTTTAAAACGACTCCAGAAGTAAAAACTGCCGAAAGAGAATCCCAGATTATTTTTTTATTTATATTATTTACTTCCAGCAAGCCGCTCTGTCTTTAAAGATGGAGCGACTGTCCGGCCGCATGAGGATCTCAGAAAGCTTTTTTTCCACTTGGTCTTTGAATGCACCGCGGCAAAGCTCTACAGGATGTTTTTAATGCGGAGGTTTACACAAAATCAGGAAGAGACGACGGTATTCCCGATGTCTGGATGCTGTTCAAAAATATAAAAAAAATAAAAATATTTCCAATGAAACAATCATTGTGCTGAAAGAAAACTAAAACTGCTCAGCAGTGTATGATCCTCGACAGCGCCATCTACTGGGATGCATTTTAATTTTTAAAACTGGAAAAATTGAAAATGGTTGGGAGTCTTTTTTGACTAAATATTTGTACCATTTACAGGTTCTGATAAATGTTCTGTTAAACACCGTCAACACTGAAATATAATTCTCTAAAGCCTCATGCAAGACAAGCGGTTCATCGAGTTCAACTATTTTATTTTTGTAACTATCTGCAAAGTATCGATGGACATTTATCGTATCGTTTCTCATTTGTGGTTATAAACGCATAAATGATTAATTAGTGTCATGATAAATTATAATTATTGATGTTTAAAGCCCCAAAACTGTCCATATCGTAAGGACTGTTAGTTTTACTACCCTCTCCATTTTATCAATGAGTGTGTCAATAAATAATACATTTAAAAATGTGATTAAAAGCGGTTACTGGGTGCAGTCGAGTTCTTCAAAACTGAGGCCATTTTTCGGGGTCTTTGTTTCGACTGTGCTGAACTCTGATAGTTACAGTAGAGGTATTGTATTGTGTCACCATTACAATGGTTAGGGTGATGGAAGATGTCTGAGTTTGGCATAAATTAAGTTACTAAAATAATAGTAGAGGTACAAGGATGTTTGTGTGTATTGAGTCTTACAGCTCCTGGTTTTCTGGATAGTTGAAATGTTGTTGCAATGTGCAGGTGATGCACGACTGAGTACTAACATGGAGCCCATTTGTAATATTTTTGAGTTTTCTAATAAAAAATAAATAAATAAATTCAAGGAAGAACATAAATATTTGAATTATATGATTGAAACGGAGAATCTCCAGACATGTTTGGTTTGAGTCGATAGAGCATTTTCTTTCAATTCTTTGAAAATGTGCACAGAAATGTGCAGTCTTCGATATCGGCTTTAAGGGCATTTTCCCAGGGTGGCATCAGAAAGGGGCGTGGGACCAAAACCACTCAAACATAAACTATAGCTCATCTGTCAGTTGTCCCCGTAGCATTTTTGTTAGTGTATGCATATGTAGTGGAGTAAGTTTACCTTAGTTACTGTTGATTAGTGGGAAAATAAATAACCTAACCTGTACTGTGATAATTTCTTGTATTTGAATTGATTGCAGTGCGGCAGAAGGAGGCGGACGCCCAGAGCGCCATTCCTGCAGAAACCACAACTGCTTGCACATTTATTTCAAGTTTACAAAGTTAATCATGATGATTAATCACAGATCTTGAGTGGGATTAATCTGATTAAGTACTGATGTTTTTATAAATAATGACCTTTAAGTCATTTAGGCTACAATAAAACCAAATTAGGTAGGTTAAATTTTATTTGTACTTTCCGTCTAAATATCTAAGCCTCCCAGACCTAACTGGGTTCAACCTCATAACTTAGTGGTTTGAGACCAGACTTTAAGGTGGCACAGGCTTCCTGCTCCATCTTAGCATTTACCGTGACAGGTCGGAGATGTCGGGAGGTCAGCGGGGGGTCACTCCTCCTTCTTTACCGTCACGTCTCCATCTCCGGCCAGGATGGTGGAGATTTCCCCCTGCATGAAGGCCCAAGGCACGTTGGAACCGGCCAGAGGGCAGCGCTCCCCGCTCGGGCAGTACACCTCCCCTCCCTGCCCCTGGCTGCGGATGAACGCTCGGGTGCAGGGGAAGCAGAACTTGTGGTGAGGGACGGAGGGACACTGGACAAAGTGTGTGTCCTCCAGGCGCTCTCTGCAGAGCGTGCAGCACAGCAGGGTGCCCTGCGTGCTGCTCGTGCTCTCCCCGGTGCTGGCGTTGCCGCTCGGCCCCACCGCGCTCATGCTCTGGCCCATGGCCGCCTGGGAGGCCGAGGTGGAGGCGGTGGACGGGCTGCTGCTGGTGGAGCGACCGGCTGTCGAGGAGTGGGCTGCGGACATGCCTGGGCTGTCTCTGGGCATCTGGCTGGAGCTCAGGCTGTCCGTGACGCCCATCAGGGCCGAGATGGGCGACGGCTGGCTGTGGAGGCGCGGCGGTCCTTCCTGAGGGGCCGCCATGCCGGGCAGAGGCTCTGTGTAGGCGCTCCGAGGCCAGGACTCCCTGGCAGGGTGGTCGGGTCTCCCGTCACTCTCTCCGTTTTCCGAGCCGGGAGAAGGTTTCCGGCGTCTGCTCGTGCTTTTCGCCGGACCCGGGCGGCCTGTCGCCGCCAACGACAGCACCGGATCCGGCTGGGGCAGGACCTCTGGGATGGGCGGCTCCTTGAACATCCTCACGGCGTCGTTCAGGAGCTCGGACAGCCCACGCCAGTCCCCGGTACCCTGCCGCTTCTCGTACTCCACGTATCGCAGGCCGGAATTCACAGCTTTGCCTGCGTCTTTCGCCGAATCCCGGAACATCTGTCGGACCAGGTCCGGGATCCCTGAGAAGATGATCCCGGAGCCCACGGGATACTCGACGAAGACCCTCAGCTCAAACTCGGGAGTTGTGCTGGCATCGAACGCCAGGACGCGGCCCTGCAGGTTGTGGTCTTTCCTGAAGCGGACGTTGAAGGGGATGGAGTTGCTCAGAGCCACCAGCACGTCTCGCACCGCTTTGGGTCGGTTCGGCCAGCCTTCCACCCGGTTTCTGGCCACTTCGTTCAGTTCGGCCATCACCTCATTGTTCCTCCACACCGCTGGATCTATACCCACCAGGGCAGAGGTGCTGGCGCCCACCCCCAGAGACACTGCCTGCCTCCTGCCTCCCTCACCCATGATGGGCCCGGCAGAGACTGCGATGGGTGTGCTGGCAGTTCGGGAGCCCGACAACGGGGCTAAAAGCCCGTGAGGAGCCGCCACCAGCCCCTGAGCTATCAAGGCGTGAGAGATGGTGCTGTGGAGCCCGGGCACCGTACCGGTCACAACCCGGCGGGTGTTCGGGCTCTGGCGGCTCCCCTCCGACAAAGCCACGTCCTCAGCCCGGTGCAACCCGTTCGGAAGCCGGGAAGACACCCCGTACTCCCCCCTGCCCCTGTCTACGCGCTCACTATGCTGCCGCCCCGTCTCGAGGGTCCCCACCGAGCCGGGCTTGCTCTGCTGGGGACCGGGAGACCTGCCGTCTAACACCCCGTGCGTGCTCTTCAGCTGCCGCGCCGTTTCGATCAGGAGCTCGATCCGGTCCGCGCCGTCGTAGTTGACACATCCCCGGCACACCGCCTCGCTGAACTCCCACAGCATGGCCCACGGCATCTTGGGCAGATCGCAGAGGTAGCACCACTGCCGTCTGGAGGAAGGCTGCGAGGCGGAGGACATGTTGTTTACAGGCCCGACGCTAAACTTTCTTCCCTCGGAGGCCTACGCGACACAGTCTGCGGTTCTCGGCTAAATCTCAGGCTGCGGACACCGACGGCCACATGCCACGTTTCATCCGACGAAAATACGACGAACGCTGAGCTCGGAAGGCGGTTTTTGGCGACAATACTTAACGTAAGCGACGTCTTCTTTCTCGGTTTGTTCGTGTCGGTCTGTGTGGAAGGAAGTAAAATGTTACTAGACACCGGAAACACCTACGCGCCTGGAGCGCGGGGCATTTTGGGAAGTGGTGTTTTCAGAGCGAAGCTGAACTCGCCGCTAGAAAAATGGAGAATCTTCGCAACACGAGGAGAGAAAATGAACTTAATTAAGTTAATCCCACGAAATAAATCGTGGCCACTATATATATATATATATATATATATATAATATATATATATATATATATATATATATATATATATATATATATATATATATATATATATATATATATATATATATATATATATATATATCAGAAATCCGTAAGACAAGCCCGCTCTGAATATCGAACCAAACTGTGACATCACAATGTGACATCACAATGTAACTCCAAAGGCAGAACTCTGACATCACCAGCAGCAATGATATAAGCTCGTCACATGGATCTACTGTCATCACAACCTGTTAGCAGCCGTTGTTGATACTTTCCTCTTGAGAGTTTTTTTAGCAGTTCACTGTAAGATTTTTTCATCTTAGTTTGGTTCACATTTCGTTGACATCAAGCTTAACGTGAAATCTTTACTGAGTTTACAGATAAGTGATTTTAGCTTACAACCTGAAACAAGCAAAGGTTACAATGCAGTCCAACCAGCCTGGAGTCGAGGAGGTTCCAGCCGATAACATTGTCGCAATGGAATTACAGCCACCCAAGCCACCCAAGCGCAAGAAGAAGAAGTTGTCGTTTGCAGTTTGGTGGGCGCTGCACGCACCTGAGGAGCTTAAGACTTCTGCTGAAAATATTGAACAGCAGGACGCTTCACTGGCGACTGAAAATGAATCGATCGCCAAAGTACTGGAGACAGTGGATCAGAAAGGGGACAGACAGCCACCTGAGAGTGATTCCACTGAGAAGAACCAGGTATCATTTAAAACCCTGTCGGAGGAACACGTCCCTGATGATCAAGAGATTTCTGCAGGAAATATTGAAAAGCAGAATGATCCACTGGTCAGAGAAGAAGTGACCATCGCTGGAGTGCAGGAGACGATTGATTTAGCAGAAAAGGAACAGCCTTCCACGTCGAAGCAACAGCCACCAACAAGGAGACGCAACAAGATCAAAATGATTCCATTTCAACTCTGGTTGGAGAAACATGCCCCTGCTAATACAACGAGTTCAAATGAAAGTGCTGGAATGGAAGAAGAAGACGTTTCAGCGGTTAGCAAAAAAGAATCGATCACCGTAATACAGGAGACATCAGAGAAGGAACTCCCCATTAAGTCTGGTTAAAAAACAGGACACTTCTCTGCCTGAAGATCAGGAAGATTGCTTAAAGGAGATTGCAAACACATTTGTGTTTGATGAATCTGAAGACTAAGAAAAGTTAGACGTTGTTTAAAGTAAATTTGATGTTCACTGTTCAACCTAATGAGTGCTACTAGAGCAGGGGTAGGCAACTCCAGGCCTCGAGAGACGGTCTCCTGCAACTATTAGATGTGTTTCTACTTCAACACACCTGAGTCAAATAATGGGGTCATTATCAGAACTCTGGAGAACTTAACTGTATTTAGGAGGTGATTCAGCTATTTGAACCAGCTCTGTTGGACCAGGGAGACATCTAAAAGTTGCAGGAGACCGGCTCTCGAGGCCTGGAGTTGCCTACCCCTGCTCTAGCAGCATTCATTCTACTTAGGTTGAACAGTGAACATCAAATTTACTTCAAACAACGTCTAACTTTTCCTCGCAATAATCAGTGAGATGGCCGGAGCAAGTTATTTCACCAAGTTGGATGCATCACAAGGATTCTGGCAAGTAAAGCTGGATGAAAGGCCATTGTACCTTTAACACACCTTTTGGAAGATACTGTTTTCTAAGGCTTCCTTTTGGGATAAAATCTGCACCAGAAATATTTCATAGAGCAATGGAGCGGATCACAGAAGCCTTGAATGGAATCTACATTGATGACATCATCATCTGGGGATCAACAGTTCAAGAACACAATGACAGATTGAGACGTGTCATGGAGCGCATACGGAAAAATGGACTGAAGCTTAATAAAAATAAATGTGAGTTTTGTGTCGAAGAAATTATGTTTCTGGGAGACAAACTATCTGGCCAAGGTGTTCAACCAGATGAAGATAAAATAAAAGTCATCTCAAAGATGCCACCGCCTGTTGACAAAACGGGTGTCCTGCGCATCATGGGGATGATCAATTTTACAGAAAAATTCATTCCCAATTTGAGTGCAAGGATGACTAACATTCACAGACTCCTGTACAATGATAGTCAATTCCAGTGGACAGAAGTTTATGAACAAGAGTGAACCCTACTAAAAAAATAAAACTGTCTACAGATGCCTCAAAAGATGGACTTGGAGCAGTTCTTCAAGCTGAGAATGACCAATGGAAACCAGTAGCTTATGCATCCAGACCCATGACAAAAGCTGAACGTAGATATGCTCAGATAGAAAAAGAATGCTTGGCGCTGGCTTATGGGCTAGAACTGTTTCATAACTACACTCAACAAAAATATAAACACAACACTTTTGTTTTTGCTCCCATTTTTTATGAGATGGACTCAAAGATCTAAAATTCATTCCAGATAAACAATATTACCATTTCTTTCAAACTGTTGTCCACAAATCTGTCTAAAGGCCACTCTGAAATGTGCAGGTTTATCACACAGCAAATGCCACAGATACCGCAAGCATTGAGGGAGTGTGCAATTGGCATGCTGGCCAGCATACTCACCGGACATGTCACCCATTGAGCATGTTTGGGATGTGCTTGACCGGCGTATCCGAAAGTGTGTACCAGTTCCCACTAATATCCAGCAACTTCGCACAGCCATTGAAGAGGATTGGACCAACATTCCACAGGCCACAATTGAAAATCTGATAAACTCTATGCGAAGACGATGTGTTGCACTGCATGAGGCAAATGGTGGTCACACCAGCTACTGACTGGTTCTGAGTCCCCAGACCCCCAATAAAGCAAAAACAAAAATGCACATTTCAGAGTGGCCTTTTATTGTGGGCTGTATAAGGTACACCTGTGCACTAATCATGATGTCAGATCAGCATCTTGATGTGGCACACCTATGAGGTGGGATGGATTATCTCAGCAAAGCAGAAGTGCTCACTATCAAACATTTAGGCAGATTTGTGGACAACATTTGAAAGAAATGGTAATATTGTTTATCTGGAATGAATTTTAGATGTTTGAGTCCATCTCATGAAAAATGGGAGCAAAAACAAAAGTGTTGCGTTTATATTTTTGTTGAGTGTATGTGTGTGGTCTACCATCTTTTGTAGCTAAGACAGATCACCGACACTTGGTTGCCATCATTAAAAAACATCTGAATGAGATGTCACCCAGGATTCAGAGGCTTATGATGAAGATGCAGAGGTATGAATTTACACTGATCTGCACTCCAGGAAAACATCTGCTTCTTGTTGATGCTCTGTCTAGAGCCCCTACACAATAGTGTGAGTTCAACTGAAGAGGATATTCAGTGTCATGTGAATTTGATATCTAATGTGTTGCCTGTGTCAGATGGAAAGTTACAGCAAATAGTTGAGGCAACAGCTAAGAATACAGAGTTACAGTTGGTCATACAGAATATGGATGAAGGATGGCCAGTGGGCTCATGTTCACAGTTTTTCAATGTCAAAGCTGACCTAAGTGTTGTGAATGGACTGTTACTGAAAAACAACAGAATTGTGATTCCACAAGAGTTAAGACGGGACATTCTACAGCGGATTCCTGAGGGTCACCGAAGCATTGAGAAATGCAAAAGAAGAGCTAGAGAATCAGTTTTCTGGCCTGGACTAAATAAGGACATTGAGGAGCTGATCAGTAAATGTGAAACATGTCTGACATTTAGAAACAAACAGAGCAAAGAACCTATGATAAAAAGCTGACATTCCAACACCACCATGGCTAAAAGTGGGAATGGATTTGTTTCATCTTAAAGGTAAAGATTATTTAGTGATCATTGATTACTATTCAAACTATCCTGAGATGGATCTGTTGGCTAATATGTCATCAAATTGTGTCATAACACATGCTGAATCAATCTTTGCAAGGCATGGCATTCCACATGTTGTGGTGAGTGATAATGGTCCATGTTTTAGTAGCAGAGAATGGCAAAGGTTTACAGAACTGTATGATTTTAAGCATGTAACATCAAGTCCACATTATGCACAGTCGAATGGAAAAGCGGAGAAAGAAGTTCATATTCTGAAGAAAGCTGCAGATAATAACTCTGACCCGTATTTAGCTTTATTAAGCTCCAGATCATCACCATTGCAATGCGGATTTTGACCTGCTGAACTTTTGATGAATCGGAAGATCTGTACAACTTTGCCAAATTATGACAGTAATGAACAAGGTGCAAAGAAATCGTCAAAGTATGTTTATGGCAGTGACGTAGTAAGAGAACGGGTACGTTACTCCTGATAGTACATTTGAAGACGCACCGTTTGAAAGCGTCCCGATCGCCTCGCCGGTTGACAAATGGTGCACACCCTTCTGGTGGTAGCCAATAGGAATTCAGCACTCATCGTAACACAGTTCCTGTTGCGTTCACTGATCAGTATGAGCTTTTTAACTTACACCTTATAGAAGTGCCAACATAATTTACAGTGCTGCTAAGATGAATACAAACGTTCTCTGATAAAGGTGGAATTTAAACCCATGAGAACACATAGTCTTATTATTCCAGGATCAATTCAGGTTGGAGAATAAAACGTAACGTTTGGTAGAACGTTTGTTTTCGTAACACCACTGAAATGCAGCACCAGCCCGGTAAAGTGGACAGGACAACATGGCTGCTGCTGCGTCCCGATACTACGGCGAAGGCGGCAGAGCGACAAAAAGACAGAAAACTGAAGAAGGCGGAATGACAACGGTGGGTTTTCATCGTTGCCTTTGAAGCGAATGCACCAGTGAGCTGAACTATCATAGTTTTGCTTTGTCTCAGAAAGTATTGGAGCATTAAAAACGTTATATATCGGGCGCTAGCTAGAACGAATATGCTAGCAGGCGTTAGCTTGCTCAGCTACTTCACGCATAGGAATGGAGTTTACGTCGGCGCGTGTCCGAAAAGCTGCTCAGCTGGTTCATTTAAACGTCATGTTGAAGCAGGACAGCTTAAATGTTACATTTGTGGGCAAAGAAAGGCTCGTCTAAGGCATGGCTAACGTCAGTGCTCATGAAAATAAAAGCTTGTCAGATGTTGACAGATGTCGGCCAAATTAGGACAAGCTTCAGAACCAAACAAATGGGAAATATTATCCCTCTGGACCCAAAACAAAACAACTATTTCTATATCCAATGCATAATATATGAATTAATTCATTCCCTACTTAATTTAAATACAAAAAACCTCCAGCATTAATAATTTAAAACATCCGCTGGATGCATTTTTAATCGTCCTTTGCATAGATTCAGTTGTTGGTTGCAAAGGGATTTCCGTCCTAAAGACATAATTTTGTATCGTGAGCTTACATGCTTTTAACATGAATGGATTCTGACAATTTCTTGGAAAGCGAGACTGAATCTGTAGCATAGTTCAAAATCATTCTTAAATATAAATTGTTGGCTGGAAGTTACTAGGGCTTTGAAAATATAATGCTGATCAAGTGTCTGAAATGGTCCAGCGGATGTTTCCTTCTTGTTCTCAGCTGACTGATTTGTCTCCGGTTGGACCATCTTTGGCTCCGTTGGACAGGCTTGTTCCTCTTCTGGAGTAAACCATGAGGAATTTGTTTCCCAAGTCAGACTTGATTGTTTTAGACTAGAAAGAGCAATAAAATAACTGCCAAATGATACCAAGTTAATGTGTGTGGATTACTGTCTTGAAAAGTTGCCATTGTGGTGTAGTTTGTAGTAAAAGGGGCATAACTTCAAAATAAAAATATCGGGTATTGTCTTGAAATGTTTTGTTTTTTAAAATAAATTCTCCACTTTTTAAGTTGCTAGAGTAAATGTTGCGTATTGACTAGCTTTTAGTCAATCTTCTGCTCAGTTTTGCGACTTTGCTTTATATTTTCACAAATGGAAACAGCAACAGAGAATGTTCTTATAAACAAAGATCTTCTTTTTCGGCATAAACATCAGAATTTCATTCTGAAATTTTAAATCAAGCTTTGTGTGGCTAAATAAGCACATGTTCACACATTCAATCATTTCAGTGAAAACTATTGTTGACATAAAACAAAATCTGCTCCTCTTGTCTTCAGTAGATTCTCAAAGCTTCAGCAGCATGCTAAGGATTTGTTGCTGACATGAATGTGAGGGGAAAAAACTGTTGATATTTTGCATCTGTGTATATCACAAAACTACATTGTTTTTGTGACATTTAATTACATTTTCTAAATAAAATTGTCAGAAAAACAAACAATAGAAACAATTCTCCACACTGATTGCAGCTTTCTGGCTTATTACCAGTCTGTAAAAATCCTGACCTGCTGATTCCATATTTTGGCTGCTGGTTGGTTCTCATCAGTATTATTTTCCTTTCTTAGGAAAATTATGAAGACCCTCACAAGCCACTACCGTCTTCTGTGGTGCACATCAGGGGTCTGGTGGATGGTGTGATGGAGGCTGACCTGGTGGAGGCGCTACAGGAGTTTGGAACAATTAGGTAACAACAGACGTTCCTACATGTTAACTGGAGCCACAGATGTATAAGAAAAAAAACAAGATTTGACCCCGAGTTAACAAAGAATGTCTTTATCTATCCTTATCTTTATGGGATGTTTGAAGCTTTAACATCTTGACGAAACAAAACTCCCACAGAGATTGTAAGTGCCTTTTTATTATTATTATTTTTTTCAGCTATGTTGTGATGATGCCCAAGAAGCGGCAGGCGCTGGTGGAGTATGAGGACATGAACGGCTCCTGTAATGCTGTGACTTACGCAGCTGAAAACCAGGTTTACATCGCGGGCCACCCCGCCTTCATCAACTACTCCACCAGTCAGAAAATTTCCCGGCCGGGCGACTCGGACGACACCCGGAGCGTCAACAATGTGCTGCTGCTCACAATCTTGAACCCCATCTATCCCATCACCACGGTAACCTGCACCCAAATCAGTATCTTTAGTAGGGTCAGTAGTATTTAGTTCAAACTTTATTTAACTTTACAAATTCAGTCAGTCACAAACTTGCTTTTACTTGTAATCGATAATTAAAACATAGTTAAAAGAATTATGTTCTATTGTTCCTTTTATGTTTGAAACATTCCTTTGGTTTTCCACAGCAGTTTGTTGTAGTTATATGTTTGAATGCCACGCCACTGTTATGGATGGAGATATTTGTTTCCTAAAACTTTCTGAACTGGCAGAATGAAAGTGAATATCTGGGTTTCTTTTTTAATTTGAAATAGTTCAGTTTGACTTTTTACATTCCTCAATAGAGTGAGTTGAACTATAGATCATTTGTATGTACATTTTGGTAAACTGTAGAAATTCATGCATGAATTTTATGTCCATATATAGAAAATCCATTTGCATTTACTAAATAAATACATTGCAGCTTTTCCCTTCAACAAAGTGAAAATAGTTCATGTAGTAAATAACTTTTGGGCTTTGTGATGGATTTCTTTAACTTCTTCCTACTTGTTGTTCTATTTCTACTAAATGCTTGACTTAATATTCAGGGATTGAAAAACACTGTGTGCATCAGAAAATGGCAAAGAAATTCTACAACTACCCCTAAAACTATTCACACTCCCGGGTTCCAAGTGTTTCAACCAAAAGGTTTGGTTCTGATGGGAAATGAGACGATACCAAAACATGTTTTCATGCCAACAATGATTTCTTACTTACGGTTATATAACATTTTTTTTTTTTCTAATCATGAGAGCCTTACTACCTAAACATGTTTGGTGTCCTACAGGATGTCCTCTACACTATTTGCAACAACTGCGGGCCTGTACAGAGGATCGTGATCTTCAGAAAGAATGGTGTTCAGGCAATGGTTGAATATCCTTTACAAACAGCAACTTTCTTTTTATTTGGCAACATTCTTTTATAAACCTTCCACAGCAGGGTAACATCATGTTGTTACTTCATATTGGAACGTCTCTTTAGGCCTTAACTTGAAGGTTCCACGTTTGATTCTGTTCAGAGTGCCCAGAGGGCCAAAGCCTCTTTGAATGGAGCGGACATCTACTCTGGCTGTTGCACTCTGAAAATTGAATATGCAAAGGTATGTATGTGTTACAAACTGCGTTTCCATTCACCATATAACAGTGCAGTTTGACATTTTGCAAATAAATTTGCTGAATGGAAACAGCAATTTTGAAAAATGATCTTGTTTGTTGGTAAAAAGTCTTGCCGATAGCATAAGGTGGTATTTTGGCCACATTGAACATGGTACAGTACGCAAAACATGAAACACTTTCTTTGCGTCACGCGACTAGCAGGCGCATGTCACTGCTGCCCCAAACCACAAAGAGGAAGAAAGAATGTAGTAAGAGAATCATGTTTTTTAACAACTTATCGCGTGAATCAAACTTATTCACGCAAGATTTTAATGGAAGCACCGCAATGGCTACTTGTATTTTTTTCGACATTGGCAGCATTTAGCCAAAGTTTTGTGCACATTTGTACTGAAAACACAGTTACTGCCTCTTGCAACTGGCGAATACCCAGTCGCTAACCCAAAGTCTGGTACTCTAATGTCCATGTTTGTTTTTCCTTCCTGTCCAACAGCCCGCACGCCTTAACGTCTTCAAGAACGACCAGGACACATGGGATTACACCAACCCCAACCTAAGTGGCCAAGGTAACGTGTGTTCCCCAAACAATCCCTCTCCATTATTTTCTTCCTATTCTTCTCTGATGTCACTACATAGGATGTTTGGGGGTTCTTCGCCTCGAGGGGGTATTGCCTTCGTTCGCAAAGGATTGTCTCACCATGCAGTTCAGCTTAGCGCTCAAAGGCAGTATTCCCACGATGCCGTCAGTCCTTATGTATTTTCTCACCACACAGCAGGTGCAAAGTAAGGGCATGAGGAGCTGCCTGGGAGCAGCGTGCATTATAGACTCATGCATGTGAAAAATATGGAGCACCCACTCTAGCAGTAGGAAGATGCACCACAAGTCACACAGGATCACCGTCCCTGAAGAGCATGTCACAGCTGCACTGTCTCACGTCCTTGCTTATTTAAATCCAGGTAACATAATGTAGCGTCACAATTAATAGCATTCTTTCAAGCATAGTGGAGATTTTGTAAAAAGTGAAAGTAAGATTTATTAATAAAGGCCCCATGAGATGATACTGCAGCTCTCAAGTTTTAGCAAGAATTAGAAGGTTCATCTTGGTTTGATACAGTGTTGAAATAAAATGAAATTTTCACTCAAATAACTCTTAGTGACTCTAATTGCCAGAATCCAAGGCCACATATTTCATGGGACCTTTAAAGGAAAATTTACAGTTTGTACAAGATATGAGAAAGAAAAACTTTTGTAGGAGATGGAGATCAGTTTTGTGGACATATTGGCTGCCCTGTCATGAAAATTTTTCTGGGATGATAAATTGTCCCAAACAACAAATTATAATGTTGTTTTGAGACCATTTTCAAGTAATGTACTCATAAAGGCTTGATAATGAAAGTTCTCCCTCTCAGAAACTAACAAAAGTTTAACTTTGTACAGAATACCTCACACCAGAAAGGAAAAAGTATCCAGAAGAAAACCCAAAACAATAAAGATGAAAATAAAAAAAACACAAACCACAAATAAAATGGGTTGAAAATTGCCCTTCAAAAAAGATTAATGGAAATTAATTGACTTCATTTTAATTTTTCATATGATTAATTGCATATCTTGCTTTTTTTTTTTAATTCTTAGGACAAAAAGTTCCAAAAAAGTATCAGTTTTTCAGATCACCAGCTTTGACTCAAACAGGAACATAGCGAGGCTCATGTTTCTTACTGTGTCCTATTTTTTGTGCTTCCTAACAACCCAGAGGTACTCCTTGTGTCCTTACTCCATAACCTTACACAGGCTTTCCATGACTTTGCAAGCAGACACAGCGACCTTCACAGCTCCGACATATCAACAACAACAGATATGCTCTATGGCACACATGGGGCACAGTGGGGCATCAAATACTGGAACACAACCTCAACTCAGTACTCCATCATCATCCACATCTCCACCAGCCGACCTGGGAGTCATGTCATGGTTTGTTTTTTTTTTTTCTTCTTCGGTGGCGAAAAGTCGCCACGCGTTCAGTTTAGAGGGACAGAAATAACTCCCCAGGTCGTCAAACAAAACACCTCGCATATCCACCACAGTCCGACGCTGGTAGACTGATGAGCGCCTCTGGCGGCTCCGTTACCGGCGCAGCACATTTCATCTCCAGAAACCCCCTGAGGAGTCACAACACATTGGTGATTGGGGGCAGGAGTCACACTCTTGGATTTTTTTTTTTTTCTTTTTGGCTCCCCGCCCCCAAATAAAACAAAAACAAAACACAAGCACAGGGAGCAACAGAGGATTTCAGACACACTCAGTCCGGCCAGGGAACAGACAACTACACATACTGGGGCGGTTTGCTCTCTCAAATGACACTACACCTCATCTCTACCTCCCTCCGCCGAACACACGACTGCACATCGAGCTGAGTATCCGAGGAACACGCAGCCGAGCCGCCGCGACAGCACATCTTCACATTCCAGACGACTCATTATCAAGCAGTAAATGCTTTCACTTTGCAAGAGGTGACAGCTTTCAAAGCAGATAAATAAAGCAAGTATCCATTTTTACATGAGAAGAAATACCCACAGTGGGGCCCTAACGAAGACACAACATCAGACACCTGTCAAGCATACAAGCACTGAGGCAAACAGATTCCAAATCCTTTTCCAAAGCTTTCCACAGTTATGGACTCTGGTGTTCTGTTTTCCCCTGTTCCTTATTCCCCTTTTTTCCCCTCCTCTCTGTGCTGTTCTTGTGTTGTTTCTGCGTTTATTTAGTTTTTTTTTTTTAGTTTTTTTTTTTTTTTTTTTGCACTGGCCCATAGTGATGCCTCTAATGCCTCCCGTGTGATGCAGGTTTGGCTCAGTGTGTCTGTGGACTGACAGCCTACTCTGAAAATATGCCCTGCTTTGTGATCAGAGCACGGTAAGATGGAAATGAGCCTCTAATGGTAACTTTGAATACGCAGCGGCACCGATTGTAAAGTCAACACTGGAACCCCGTGGATGCACTTTTTGGTCTGGAGGTGGGATGCAAGGATGGAAAGAAGCAACTAAAGACTGAGGAGGAGGATTGAGTTGAGGCTGGAGTCAGAGGTTGGAGGGTAGCATCCTTGCTGAAGACTGCCCCCTACCTGCCCACTGTGTCCTATGCTCCCTGTGTGGTGCTGTAAGTACTTAATGAATGAATGATCTAATGGTTCAATGTTTGTGATCTACTACATGAATTCTGCTTCTGACTCTAGTTTAACATTCGATGATCTCTGGTATTCATGAACCATCTGTTACTTCTCACGACGTTCCTTTGGTAAAAGGAAGTGATGCATTTATTTCTCACATCTGAACTTCTGTGTTTTAGCTTTTCAGTCTGTTCAGTGGGATCCTGGGACCTAACAATAAGTCATTAGCTGCTGTGTAGTTGAAACGGTTGACATTGACTTAGAAGCATGCTGTAACTGATAAAGCTGAACTTTTATTTTGTAGTTGGGGAATTTTGAATACGCTATTTTGCCACTAACGTTTTAACCCTTATAATGTAATTTGTAAAGTCTTTAATTTTAGTTATTTTTATCTTTATAAATTGGAATATTGTTGAAATCTCAACGGTGAAAAATCAAAAAAATTCATTTCTCATAAAGTGATACATTTCAAGTGTTTATTTCTGTTTGTGTTGTGATTTCTAGCAAATGGAAACCCGACTCTCTGAAAAAGCCACAGAAGAATATGGCTGTTTTGAGAGTTTCATTAAAACATATCAAGAGGGAAAGTGAGCTGAACAAGCAACAGGGATAACTTGAAATTTGGGAGAAAGTGTGACGCAAAGCCCATTGAAGAGGTTTGGGGAAATTCACTGGAGGCATTATTCAACAAGTCATAACATCAGAAGAGTTTATCAGGGTTGAAAAGGAGAAGAACGGAATCGTTGCTCAGTGGTCCAGACGAAAATACTATTTTTTGGATTTAGTTCAGAAGTCATTATCGCAGAGTGAAGAGGCATGGAAGCCAAGCTGCTTGAAGTTTCCACAGTCAGAGGTGGTTTGAGGTTTCACATCGTCTGTGGTGGTGGTCCACTGGCGTTCATCAAGTCCACGGTCAACACAGTCATCCACCAGGAAATGCTGCCGACCAGCTTTATAGAACAATGGCATTTCCCAGCAGAACATGGCACTGGCTCACATATATCTATACCTGTCATAATCACCCAGGTGTCACATTTGCTGACTAGCCAGAAAACTGTCCGGACCTGAACAGGGACAGCGGAGTATTGACGAGTGGAAGATATAAGACCAGAACCGAAAATGACGAAAGCAAACTGGGCTTCCTCAGCACCTCATCACAACCACAGGCCGGTCACTGCACTGAGGCAAAACAAGGACTGACCAAGTATCGAGTGCATATACCATGCAGTTTTCAGTAGGCCCACTTCTTCGTTGGCACCTTGTTATTGCAGTCAAACCCACTTCAGAACTGTCTTTTTTTCTAATTCTCTCTGAGATCGTGGTCCATATCGGCATCATAGTTTTGTGTCCCATTTCACTCCAGATTTGTGAACTCTCAGCAGCAATTAGCAAACACCCATCAAACGAGCTCCTTCTCATCGTGATGGAGGGTTAATAGGTCAATTCTGAAGGTGGAGTTTTGGAGGAAGAGTTGTTAAAGAGTCAGAGGCCCAATTTCAAGTCTAGTGTGGCGCTGTGTGGTTAGCAGAAGGCGTCCTGAACCGTTGATGTAAGCAGCACATCCGTAATCTCCTCATGTTTTGCAACCAAATCAGAACCTGGCTTCCCAATCATTTTTGTTTAAATCAATTTGTAATGATATACAGTTTTGTTTCTGTTAGTTTTTGGGATGAAAAGTTACTCTGTACAGTGGGTTGAAAATAGTGCAGCTAAATTTAAATGTGTCTAATTAGCTCCTCTTAATACAAAAGACTACAAATTTTTGTTAAAGAAATTTTCATGAACATAATGATGAATAAACTTAAACATAATGCGGCAGCCATTCCTCCACTGCGCAAAATGTTCAAGTCAGAGCTCAAGTCCAAATGAAGTCACAAGTTTTTAGAGATTTTTATTTATTTATTTTAAACCAGACTAAATGTCAAGGTTTGATTTTGAATGTGATGCTTTTTTATTTTCTACTCTCGTGTGTTTTACTTCTGTCTCATCCGGGTTTGTAAAAGCTGTTTTGATCTCTAATAAAATGGCAGGAGCCGCTTGTGGCACTGAGCCGTACGATCTCTTTCTGATCCGTTACATTCACGCGCCTGCGCTGCTCTGATGTCGTTTTCTGGTGTGTTTAGTGTTACCAATTGAGGACGCTGTGTATTTGGATTTGACATGTGTATGTGTACTTGTACAGATGCAGATGGTGAAGGCAATTGGAACATATCACAAGGTGTGTTTGTGTTTATATCGGGATGATTAGGGACTCCGTTTAGTGAATGCTTTGAAAGCTACGGCCACTTCTAAATAAATTATTTCTAAAAATCTCCATTATGTTCAGCCTAAATGAACAGACGAAGCCTGCCGAACCTTTTGTTATATTTCATTTGATTTTTTTTTTAAGAGGCCAGCTTCCTCTGTTGCATGCACTTCACTAAGTTGTCTCATAGCATGCGATAGGCCAAGTAAAGCATCTGCGCTGCATGCAGCACAAGTTGTTTGATGGGAACATTTTGACCGTTTTCAGATCCTAACGCCAACCCCAACAAGCGCCAGAGGCAGCCCGCTCTCCTGGGAGACCACCCACCTGATTACGGTATTTGTCTCTCTGAGAAATTGATGTGAAGCGTAGAACAATGGCTCCCACTGTGAGAACCTCGCCTTTGGCGTTTCCTGTTTCGCCTGTTCTACAGGAGGTCCGCAAGGAGGATATCATAGCTATAACGACGACACGTACGGCCCCCCTCCTCCCCATCGCATGGGGATGGGCATGGGGGGCCGGGGCCGTGGGAGCCAGCGCTACGGTGCAGGCTATGGGCCGCCCCCGCCCGAGTACGGCCCCCATGCCGACTCCCCGGTGCTGATGGTGTACGGCCTGGAGCCATCCAAGATCAACGCTGACAGAGTTTTTAACATCTTTTGTCTGTATGGCAACATCGAGAGGGTGAGTATAAAGCTGCTGAGACCCTCCTGGGCTCTTAAAAAATAATTACTTCTAATGGGCAGTATTGTGTAAAATCTTTTTTTTAGCTTTTCGTCGTGTTATCCTCTCATCAAAAACGTACCTGGAGGGTTGCCCTGATTCTGTCGTGCATTATTCGAGAAATTCTTTAATTCAGCTGTGCAAAACGCCGAGGTGGACTGAGTGCCGCCTCCGAGGCACAGCTCCTCCTCGGAGCTGCAGTTCCCAAGCTTCCCACCCTCTGTGGCTCACCCCTCTCGGCTCCTACAGACTAGCCAGCAGCGATTGGCAAACAGCTGGTGGAACTGCACATCTGCTGCGTTTATTATTCGAGCTGCTTCTCAGTGCAACACTGGTATAAACATTGATGAAGGGTAAATAGAGGGGCGATGTTGCGATGACATCCTGAAGGTGGAGTGTCGTGAAGAGCAGGAGTATTTAAAGAGACAGAGGCCCAATTTCAAGGTGGTAAATTACAAAGTCACACTTCTTTAAGTTATATTTGACATATAAACATTTTTGTAACAACAGAAGCTAACAGTTACTTGATTTTGTTATAAAATGGCACAAAGGTTGCTCTAAAATACATAACACTGCCCCTCACTGAAAATGTAGGACATCTTTACAACATCACTGAAATTCAAAGTAAATCATATCTTTGTCAAACAGGACTTATTTGAAAGAGAAAGCCAAAAAATATCTTTGCTGCAACTGGCTGCTGTCTTTTTATTTTTGTTACTTCCTTTGGTTTTATTCTCCCCATCTTCAGGTGAAGTTCATGAAAAGTAAACCTGGAGCAGCGATGGTAGAGATGGGAGATTGTTACTCTGTGGACCGAGCCATCAGTCACCTCAACAACACCTTCCTGTTTGGACAGAAGCTCAATGTTTGGTAAAAGCTGCTGCCCAGACACATTTCCCCGCTGGAGTGTGGAAATTTAGAAAAACTCTGGAAGCTGAGCAAAGAGTTGAAAGAGCCGATGCTTCTCTCTCTCTCTCTCTGTCTCTGTCTCTCTGCAGCGTGTCCAAGCAGCAGGCCATTGTACCAGGACAGAGCTACCAGCTAGAGGATAACACCAGCAGCTTTAAAGACTTCCATGGATCTCGGAACAACCGCTTCGCCTCCCCAGAGCAGGCGGCTAAAAACCGAATCCAGCACCCCAGCAACGTGCTGCACTTCTTCAACGCCCAGCCGGAGATCACAGAGGAGACCTTCTTCCAAGTGAGAACAATGTCCTAACAGGAGTTCTGTCTGCTAACGTCACGACTGCAGGTATCGCACTAACCGAGTCTGCTGTCTGTTCCCAGATATGCGAGGAATTGGGAATTAAAAGTCCTACGAGTATTAAGCTTTTTACTGGAAAGAGTGAGTATTGTTGCCTCCTGTAGGTCTGGGTCAGAGTTCAGTATTTAGTGGTGAGTGCTGACAGGCCCTGCTGTGTGTGTTCCCTTTATATTACTGTACTGGTTTTTGTCATGATCCTTGACAAAAGGTTTTTTGTTGTTGTTTGGCTTCTAAATGTTAACATCTCTCCCATTTCCTCTTTTCCAAGTTATATTGAGAGACAAGAGACTAATTAGTGGTCAATTTTTGGGACATAAGTGTCCTTTTAGTGAAAAGTATTCGAGTTTTGTGAGAAAAAAAAAAAAAACTGGTACGACCAAAAACCCCACCTCAACCTAGCGCCAAAACGTTTTAGTGAAAATTGTGAATTTTTTCAAAATTACAATCTTTCCATTTTTATTAAGCAAATTTATTTTCAAAATATTAAATTGCGCAATTACATATGGTTAATGGAAACGCAGCCAAAGCTTATTTTAACCTTTAGTTTCTACAGAGACAAAAACAAAAGCACAGCGACGCTCAGAGTAAAGATTTTTATCTAGAAAATCATTTATTTGTAATGAAATTCAAACCCAGCTTGGCTTTGGAAATTCTTCCCTGATTTCAAACCATCCACATCTCATTGACAGGTGAGCGCAGTTCATCTGGGCTGCTGGAGTGGGAATCCATCAACGATGCCATGGAAGCGCTAGCTATGGTGAACCATTACCAGATGAAAAATCCCAGTCAGTTCTCTTTCCTCCTCACTCACCAAAATGCCCGGTCCAGTCCTACTCTGCAGAGAGCTTTAATGTTGTTTTCCTTCTGTCTCCTAGGTGGGCCTTATCCTTACACACTCAAGCTGTGCTTCTCAACCACACACCCTTCCAACTAATCCGCTCTCCTTCATTTCTATTGTTTTTTTTTTTTTTTGCAATAGACGTCACTCATTTTGTCTCGTTCTGTTGGAGCACTGTTGACTAAAACTAGGATTTATGTGCTTTACAAAATCTATCTTAAATTATACCTTTTCCTGTTTGTATTCATTTTTACTTCAACTGTTTTTGTTTTTTCAATGAGTTGTTAATTTTGTATATTCACAGTACTAAACTTGACCCCCAACCCCATGTGTCTGGTTTATAAATAAAGTGATGTTACCGTAATATAATGATTTCTGGTGTGTTCTTCAAATTAAAACTTTGATTTCTTTTGAACAGCCTACAGAAGGAAGTAGAAAATTCCTGAAGAAATTTAACCGGGTCCTGCCAAAGTGTGACCGCCGGTTTGGACCCAGCATTCTAAAAATCAGCATCAATCCTAAGCTTAGCAAAAAAAAATAAAAAATGTGAGTAACATGGACTTGAACCATGTTAGTAATTTTATGCTAATTTTCCAAATATATTAATTTCAGCGTGAATAGTGTGAGCAGCATGTGGACCACCACTAGCATGCTGTGTCTAATTGATTTACTCCATTCAATATACTAAACATGGCTGACAAGTAAGAGACATAGGTAATACCTTATTTAAGATGAAACCTGAGAATACTTTTTATCGTCTCACAACTGGAAATTCTGTGTATCTTATTGGTCAAAAAGCAACAATAAACAAACAAACACATAACTTGTGTTCAAAAGAATTACTACTAATAATTTCCCGGCCAAAAACAGGAGACTTGACGAGGCGTTTTATGCCCAGTGACGTCACTGACATGACGTCACTGAATGATGGCGTCACAAAGGCTTGGACAGGTATTGAGTCGCTGTCTCCTTCAGTGACTCCTCACAAACAAACCTGACCTGATGCCCGAGCCTCCTCAACAGGCTCTCGATGTGGAGGAGCAGCGGCTCTACTCTGAGTCCCTCCCGGATGACCGAGCTTCTCACTCTATCTCTAAGGGAGATAGAGTAGGGTGGCTACCAGCCACCCTACGGAGGAAACCCATTTCGGCCGCTTGTGTCCGAGATCTCGTTCTTTCGGTTGTGATCCAAAGTTCATAACCATGGATGAGGGTAGGATCGTAGATCGACCACTAAATCGAGAGCTTCACTTTTTGACTCAGCTCTCTCTTCACCACGACGGACCGGTACAGCGCCCGCTTCACGGCAGACGCCGCGCCAATCCGCCTGTTGACCTCGTGCTCCCTTCTTCCCTCATTCGTGAACAAGATCCCGAGATACTTGAACTCCTCCACTTGAGGCAGGACATCTCCCTCGACCCGGAGAATGCACTCTACCCTTTTCCGACTCAAGACCATGGCCTCGGACTTGGAGGCACTGATTCTCATCCCGGCCGCTTCACACTCAGCTGCTCCAGCGAGAGCTGCAGATCACGTCCCGATGAAGCCAATAGGACAGGGGTGCTCAAGTCCAGTCCTCGAGAGCTACCGTCCTGCAACTTTTAGTTGCAGCCTTACTCCAGTAGACCAGGCTCAGCTATGAACAGGCCTGGTAACGAGTCATTCATTTGCTTCAGGTGTGTTGGAGCAGGGATGCATCTGATAGTTGCAGGATGGTAGCTTTCGAGGACTGGACTTCAGCACCCCTGCAATAGGACCACATCATCCGCAAAAAGCAGAGATGGAATCCTAAGGCCAACACCCTGGCTGCGCCTAGAAATTCTGTCCGTAAAAGTAATGAACAGAATCGGTGACAAAGGGCAGCCCTGGTGGAGTCCATCCCTCACCGGAAATGAGCCCGACTAACTGCCGGCAATGCGGACCAGACTCTGACACCAGTCATACAGGGACCTGACAGCCCATATCAAAGGGCCCGGTACCCCACACTCCCGGAGAACCCCCCACAGGGCACCTCGAGGGACACGGTCGAACGCCTTCTCCAAATCCACAAAGCTCATATAGACTGGTTGGGCGAACTCCCTTGCACCCTCCAGGACCCTGCTGAGGGTGTAGAGCTGGTCCAGTGTTCCACGACCAGGAAGAAAACCACGCTGCTCCTCCAAAATCCGAGGTTCGACTATGCGACGGACTCTCCTCTCCAGGACCCCCGAATAGACCTTGCCAGGGAGGCTTAAGAGTGTGATCCCTCTATAATTGGAGCACACCCTCCGGTCCCCCTTTTTAAACAGGGGGACCACCACCCCAGTCTGCCAATCCAGAGGTACTGCCCCCGATGTCCATGCGATACTGCAAAGTCGCGTCAACCAACAACCCTACAAACTCCGAGAAACTCCGAGCGAATCTCATCCACCCCCAGGGTCCTGCCACCAAGAAGCTTCTTAACCACCTCGGCGACCTCGTCCCCAGAGATTGGAGAGCCCAACCCAGAGTCCCCAGGCTCATCTTCCTCAATGGAAGGCATGTCAGTGGGATTGAGGAGGTCTTCAAAGTACTCCGCCCACCGGCCCACAACGTCCCGAGTTTATCTACAGTTTAGGGCCAGAAATATTTGGACAGTGACACAGGTTTTGTTATTTTAGCTGTTGACAAAAATATGTTCAGAAATACAATTTATATATAAATGGGCTGAAAGTGCACACTCCCAGCTGCAATATGAGAGTTTCCACATCCAAATCGGAGAAAGGGTTTAGGAATCATAGCTCTGTAATGCAGAGCCTCCTCTTTTTCAAGGGACCAAAAGTAATTGGACAATGGACTCTAAAGGCTGCAATTAACTCAAAAGGCCTTTCCCTTGTTAACCTGTAATCAAGTAAGTAGTTAAAAGGTCTGGGGTTGTTTCCAGGTGTGTGGTTTTGCATTTGGAAGCTGTTGCTGTGACCAGACAACATGCGGTCAAAGGAGCTCTCAATTGAGGTGAAGCAGAACATCCTGAGGCTGAAAAAAAGGAAAAAATCCATCAGAGAGATAGCACATGCTTGGAGTAGCAAAATCAACAGTCGGGTACATTCTGAGGAAAAAGGAATTGACTGGTGAGCTTGGGAACTCAAAAAGGCCTGGGCGTCCACGGAAGACAACAGTGGTGGATGATCGCCGCATACTTTCTTTGGTGAAGAAGAACCCGTTCACAACATCAACTGAGGTCCAGAACACTCTCAGGGAAGTAGGTGTATCTGTCTCTAAGTCAACAGTAAAGAGAAGACTCCATGAAAGCAAATACAAAGGGTTCACATGTAGATGCAAACCATTCATCAATTCCAAAAATAGACAGGCCAGAGTTAAATTTGCCCAAAAACACCTCAAGAAGCCAGCCCAGTTCTGGAAAAGTATTCTATGGACAGATGAGACAAAGATCAACCTGTACCAGAATGATGGGAAGAAAAAAGTTTGGAGAAGAAAGGGAACGGCACATGATCCAAGGCACACCACATCCTCTGTAAAACATGGTGGAGGCAACGTGATGGCATGGGCATGCATGGCTTTCAATGGCACTGGGTGACTTGTGTTTTTGATGACATAACAGCAGACAAGAGTAGCCGGAAGAATTCTGAAGTGTACCGGGATATACTGTCAGCCCAGATTCAGCCAAATGCTGCAAAGTTGATCGGACGGCGCTTCACAGTACAGATGGATAATGACCCCAAGCATACAGCCAAAGCTACCCAGGAGTTCATGAGAGCAAAAAGGTGGAATATTCTGCAATGGCCAAGTCAATCACCAGATCTTAACCCAATTGAGCATGCATTTCACTTGCTCAAATCCAGACTTCAGACGGAAAGACCCACTAACAAGCAAGACCTGAAGGCTGCGGCTGTAAAGGCCTGGCAAAGCATTAAGAAGGAGGAAACCCAGCGTTTGGTGATGTCCATGGGTTCCAGACTTAAGGCAGTGATCGCCTCCAAAGGATTCGCAACAAAATATTGAGAAAAACTTTTTTGTTTGGGTTATGTTTATACGTCCAATTACTTTTGAGCTCCTAAAATGTGGAGTGTTTGTAAACAAATGTGTACAATTCCTACATTTTCTATCACATATTTTTGTTCAACCCTTTAAATTAAATGTTACAATCTGCACTTGAATTCTGTTGTAGAGGTTTCATTTCAAATCCAATGCGGTGGCATGCAGAGCCCAACTCACAAATATTGTGTTACTGTCCAAATATTTCTGGCCCTAACTGTATATAGGCTATATACATTTTTATATATAGAGATATCTGTACACATAGATCTCTCTCTCTCTTATATATATATATATATATATATATATATATATATATATATATATATATATATATATATATATATATATATATATATATATATACAATTAATTAATAATAAATTTTATATATATATATATATATATAATTAATTATATAATTAATTATATATATAATTAATTATATATATATAATTAATATATATTCATATATTATTAATTAATTAATAAGGAAATTCAGGAATTATTTCCTGACATCCATCCATATATTACTTTGGGTGTTTGTATATATTTGAGCTTATATTTATATTCATAACCCGTGTGATCTAAGAAAAATCCACACTCAATTAAAACTTGGGCTCCCAGTCCTTTTTTTTTTATTGTTTACAATTGTTTTATAATATTAGTCCACCCTTGAATTTTTACAATTTGTTTTATGTAACAAGTTACCTGAAAAATGGAATTTTGGGTTTTCATTACTTATTATAAAAACAACCATCGAATCATCTAAAACAGAAATAATCACTAAAAATGAAACCAACTGACTGAAATATGTCATTTTACCTATGGAATTGATTTACTACTATAAATCAACATTGCAATAATATTTTAATGTGTGAAGGCATTCACAAGAAGGTAACCATGGTGACTCAGCGAGCAAAATATTGAAAGTTGAAAGTAAAGTGTATATATATATATATTGCAACGTAATTAACAGTGATCATTTGATCAGTTCCGTGTTAGAATATAATGGTCCTTAAAGAAAGGAATCGCTCAGTGTTCATGGGACAACAGAAATTCACATGCTGCAGTTGCTTGTGATTTCCAGAGGATGGCGCCAGATTCCAGTTCATTCGCTGCTTGGTCAGCTGTGTGTCTGCAGTCATATTCTTGAGATTTCATTGCATCAGTTGCTACCAACAAATGGACAGTTCAAGGGAAAATAAGTTGCTAAATATAAAACACATAATCTATAAATGACATATGATTAACAAGACAGTTTAAAATGTCATTGCTGTGCACAAAGATGATTTGAGAAGAACCATAAAAAAATTTCAGAAGAAATTCACTTTTCATTTCCATTTTAGTTTTAATCAGTGGGTATGAACAATCGATCAGTGGATATGCATTGACAGTCAGATTTTGCATGTAAAAATCATATTTATCATCATTATTATTCTGCACTTCAACTTAATGGGGCACCATTAATTTTACAATTCTTATTACCAAAAAAGGTAGAATTCATTCACACGTATTGGTTTTTCTTGGTTTCACCCAGCTTCTAAACAATCTGGACATTTTTTCTTCTTGTATAGTTGAGCGAAGGGCGTGTCAAACTGTTAGCGTCAGATGAATGAAATAATTCAGGAATTATATATATGAAACTTAGGGTGTATGTATATATTTGAGCTTGTATTCATATTCATGACCCGTGTGGTTTAAGAAAAATCCACAATCAATTAAAACTTAGGCTCCCAGTCCTTTTTTTATTGTTTCTAATGTTTTTATCGTATTAGTCCACCCTTAAAAAAAAAAGTAGTTCAAATACATACCTTAAAGCTCAATATTTATATGACATGCATGATGAGTGAATGTAAATGTTTTAATTACAATCATAATTAAAAAAAATCCACCCTCTATCACTTCTAGGCTTTTGATGTATAATTGATGCAATGTGTTGCGAATAAATTGACACTGAATTGTCCAGTGTTTTTGGAGTGGAAAGCCAGACTTTAGAGGGTGTATTTTCTTTTGACCATTTCTACAGTTTGTGTTCCCAGCCTGACTGTGACAGGAAATACAGTTGTATGAACCAAGTAGCTTATTAATGGTTGTGAGCAGCTCCATAGTGTCTTGCAGCCTGAGAAAGTAACAAACTTCACGTCTTTTAACTTTACCTTCAGTTTTTCACTTTCTTTAATTTAATTCAGTGAAATACTTGTGTAAATGTATTCTTCAAACCTAAAAAAAAAAAAATCCAGTTTGGAATATGGATCCATTCAGAGTGACAAACTCTTACACACAGTCCATAATGTTGCCATCTGCCTGAAATGAATGTGAGTTTAATGGTTAGTTCAAACCTGATTTTCCTGCGCTGTATCTGTTCTCAGCTATTTTCCCACGGAGTCATTAGGAATGTTCTGAAACACTCCAATGGAGTTTTGCAGCCATCATGGATCAAATAAGACGTAGTCTTTTGGCAAAAGCCTTGGACTTTTAAACAAGCCGTTTCTTTTTGATTGTCGTCAGCTACGAATGTTTCTTTTACATAATCACTGGTTAGAAAAAGTAGACAATCGAGTAGAAAAAGGAGAGGAGGCAATGACAAAAGAAGGAGGGCTTGTATAAGGAAAAGACAAGACGAAACATCTACTTTTCTTGACAAAAACACAGGTTTAGTGGAAATGAAAAAAAATGCTCGTGTGTGAGGACAAAGAAAAACTAAATATATATGTATGCCTTTTGTTCGTATGTCAGGTTTGGTCCTCCACAACTTTGTGCAAACCACATTTACCAGCGTCCTTGGCTTTGTACGTGTAACTTTGAGTCTGGATGTGAATTATCAGCATTATTTTAATGATCAGAAATATTTGTCTGCCTATATCCTTTATGCATAATGAAGCCTGGGCCTAAATTCAAACTGGAAGACTCTTTAGCCCCACCTGCATCATCTAATCGGCGCATCCCGATAATCACCACCTATCATCGCTGGACCAAGCCATGTCGCAGCCAATCACCGTCCATGCCCCAGTTGAAAAGGACGTCCATCCAAGGCGTCTTCCGCTTCGCTGCTGCGCTCAACTCACCTCCACCCCTTCTCCACCTCCATTGTCCTGGCTCTCCAGGCATACTTCATTCACCGACCTCCACCACCAGTGTCGGGTCCCTGGGGATGACTTTCCTATCAGCATCGGGAATCCCCATCCGAGCTCATCGCAATCACAGCTCGATGTCCGTAGCCGGGGCCCGAGCGCCAAAGACTTAATTTATGCATGTCAATAAACTTTTCTAATCGCTTTCTTTCTGTGTCTGAGTCTCTCCAGATTGAAATACAGTTAACTATAATCTAATATATTTAAAAGAAATTACTTTGTATTGTGACAAAGAGTCCTACTGACTAGTCACACGTTGTGTATATGTTTTGAACCATGGCAGCAGGAGTCAAACGTGAGGGTGATGGATTCCTATTGGTAGTGACTGTCACAGTTGTGTGTCTGTAAGTGTGACCTTCTGACTCTCTCAGAATCCTTGTATATGGCAATAGGCCTCCAGGCTGGAGAAGAGGATGTACAGGAACCAGAGACCGAAGAAGAGCAGCGAGGTGAGGACCTTGGGGATCCTCGGACCCCCGAGTTCGCCTCCTATGGACGGCCTCCTGCGTAGCATCAGCACTCCCATGCTGAAGAATGCAAAAATAGTGAAGAGTGTGACCGAGAAGGCCAGGGAGCCAGGGTCGACGCGGAAGACCTTCCCTTTGACTTCCCAGTACACCGCAGCCACGGACCAGGCCAGGCCGATGCCCAGAAACACATTGACTGCGTTGCTTCCCGTCACGTTGCCCACGGATGCGTCTGCATACTGGTCCTGAGTGGCAGCCACTTTACTGGCAAATGTGTCTGAAAGGTTGAAAAACATAGAGAAGTATGACTTAAAATCAGTTAATTTGGTTGTTTTTTTTTTGCTTTTCACGTGGAACACAATAAAGAACAGGCATAAAAGATTGTTCAATGCGATTCTGTTAAAATATTACAATTATTATGCCCGCATAAATCCAGAGTGAAGTGAGCAACATTTCCCTAGAACTGAAGTAGATTGTTCTTTTTGTAGACTTTTCTTCTTATCTTTGTTGATTTGATTGGGGTACTTATTATTTTTGAGCCTCCCTTCTGTAATCGTGGCTCGTCGCCTTTCGACAGAACCTCACTTCAGAAATGCTGAATTATCAGGTTAAGTAACGTTTGCCAGAACGAGTGTGTGTACCAGGAAGTGAAGTCCCCAGCGCCACAAAGACCACAGCCGTCACAGTGTCTCGGAGGCCCACAGTGCAGCCAAAATGCGACGCCAGGTCTCCGATGACGGCGGTCAGGAGGCCGATGACAGAGATGGACACAATGAAGCACGCCCAGCCGTTCCAGTACTCGGTGGGAGGGACAAAAGCAAATAAAATTTTCCAGAAAATGCAGAGTATGTGCATAAAGTAGTCGAAGCAGTTGGGCGTTCGTTGCTCCTGTCCCTCCTCGTTATCATCACCTGTTTAAAAAAGACACAAAGAGACAATAAGATTAACCTTTACTACAACAGAAAATAGTTGTCTGATTACACATTATAGTTATAAATAAGTCATATATAAATATGTAAAAAATGATAAAAACGTATTTCCACTACAACTAAATGCATGAAACATGGACACATCATTTTCAATGTTTACGATGTGAAAGTCAACTAAAAAAAATCAGTCCATCAGAAGGAAAATAAAAATTTGTAAAAGCCAAATTGTATAAGTCAAACTAATCCTGAAACTAACACTATTTTGAAGCTCCTTTTGTTTCAATTGTCCACAATTTTGTCGCATTATAAAAACCTCGTATTTTCTTTTAACGAACATCATTCATTAGGTGCACATTTTCTGTCAGGACACTAAAGTCAAAGAGAATTTCAACACCAGTTAGCAGATGTCCTGGATACAGACAGCACATTTAGTGAGGAAAACAGTGTTCAAATATGCACGGATTTATCTGCTAACTAGAATCGATACACACACAATAACCCAAAACAGTTTAAGTTCAAACTTCCACTGACCTGCACTCACTGTGACTGCTTCAATGAACTGCTCTTTCCACGAGTGAGTCCCAATCACTTCTGCTAGATTTGTGTCTTGGAGGAGATGATCCACGGTGCTCTGGCGCAAGAAATGAAACAGGTTGGGAAATGTGAATCATAACTCACATCGAGGTGAAACAGATGAGTTTCCGATTCATCCTGCCGGGCCTAGTAGTCACATAGTCAACGTGAAAAGCTAAGCAATTTTAATACATCTGCTCCGTTTATGTTCTACAGCTCACACGGCACACAGAAGCAATGACTGCACAGCGTCTTGCAAAAGCAGTAAGTGAGCCTTTCCACATGTTGCCACAGTACTAACATGTAGTTCGATGCACTTCATTTGGATTTTTTGTGACAGAAAGTAGTGTGGTGTTGTGAAGCAAAATAAAACTGATTCGTAGTTTTTGTATACGGAGATTAAATTAAGCTCATGAAATGAATACTTTTGCAAGGCGCTTTAGATAAAAGCAGGAATTCATTCTGGTAACACAAACTGTAGGAACTGTACCTGGTCTATGACTCCATTGGGAGTCTGACGGATATGGAGAGAATCACATTGTTAATGAAGCAAGACATTAAGCTTCACTTAGGAACATGTTCTATATCTATGTAGTTAAATCTACAGGAGAATAATCTTCTTCTATGAGGTGCACACCTTAAAATCACAGGCTTCTTTTATGATGACTTCTAGTCTGCTGTGCTCTCCTAGAATAGGTTTGCCCATCTCAGAAATCCTCCTGGCCTCCTCCTCCTCAGGAGTTGGGTTACCTTTTAGAGGGTACAAATGTTAATCTACTATGTCATTAATAAAACACACATTAAACCTCTTTGTGCGGAAGAGTGAGGAACACAGAAAACAAAAACAGCCCCACATACCTGCACACACACGCGTAACACTGAAAGGCGCCTTTGCAGCGTTAAAGTAGGCTGGATTTCTAGGTTAATGTTGGGACAGGTATTTGGTGTGACAGAATTTTTATTATAAACCTTGCTCTTGATTTTCAGAGGTAGATGAACAGCCTGAGATGGAGGGACTGTTTAGTGGACACAAGCACTTTAAATCTTGGCCACCAACAAGATTTTTTAAATCGAGGTCCTTTAAAAAACGTTCTTGCTGGGACGTCTTTTAAAGGACCAACATTTTCCAGTTTTTTTCATTTTCAAGTGTTCGAGTCAGTGGCTCGATGCAATCTACCGGGTTTCCTTAGGTGGAAACTTTTCAAGCTACTTTAAATAATGAACTGAGATTACTGCGCTGTTTGATAATTAGAAGTAACTGGAATGGATGTGTGATTGAACTGAAACTAATTTTTGTAAAGCACTACATAATTACACAGAACTGAAATGTAACATTGTTGTTGATGCTTGAAGAGCAAAGATTAAACTGCTCCATCTGTGACCATCACAGTTTTACAATATTATAATACTTTTTAACAGCTGCAAAGGCTGCCTTCAACACCCACATCTCAACTTGTCCCTCAAAATCTTACCCTGGTTCAGAAGTAGAGCTATGAAGAGAAACAGACAGTTACTCAATATATATCAGACATTGACATAGAAAACATATATATAAATATATATGTGCTTAATCTTAATTAATAGTTTCAACTTTACTGCTACTCTACAACAAAATGACTATATTTTCCCCTCTAGCAGCCAATAGTGAGGTTACAGAAACAGTCACTCCTGTCATAAAAGCTGCAGCACGTGTTTCACCGAAACAGAGTGATGTTAAGTTACTGGCTCTGACGTGTGCAGACAGCTCCACACGCGCAGAGCTGGGCAGTGATCTCGGTGCTGCGTCAGTCTACTTAAGCTTTTTGTGTAAGAATAAAAACTCGCCTGTCTGAGTCACAGATTTCAAAAACAATTCAAGGCCACAGTTTAGAAAATCACAGGCGACACAGATATGAAAGTGGAACTCGCGTGTCGACTTACCAGAAATTCCTCTCTTCAGCCACTTGGGGTCTTCAAGCGCAACGAAGAAGTTTTCCCGCTTTTCGTATTCCTCCACATTTAAAATACGTATCTGTAATGTCTGTCTAGAAATGTTCAAGGACACAGATATTTCTTTCATTAAAAGGAGAATTAAGTACTCGTGTGAACACGACAGCGGTATGTGTCAGAAACGTAGATAAAAAGAATATGAAAACAGTAAATTTATATGTTCCAAATACTTTCATACTTTCTCTTTAAAAAACATCAACCTATTGATGGACTATGTTACAAAGACGCCCCTTACTATGTGTACAGTTTATCCATGTAAAAACACAGCTTATGCAGCCTAAAAATTTAATGTGAAAAAGATCTGTCAGTTTACATGCGGCGACTGAAGTTTCCCCGAACCAATCAGAGTCAGGATTATCCGTAGGTGTCAAGTCATCGGGTAATTCTGTCTAATAGGACCTCCTACAGTGCAGGCTGATAACCCTGTCTCCTTTCAGAAAGGCTCTAATGTCCCTTTCCTCTGAGCTCAAACCAGTACAGACTTTGAATTGGACACAGAGCATCCAAATGTGCTCAGTCTGTGTGTTATTTCAGACAAACAGTGTTAACAGCCCAGCAACTCTAAATAGTTTGTAAAAGACACGTTGAATCGCCAAATGAATGTGAAAATATGACTTTATTTAAACCTCAACCTCACATCTCAACATTCCTGGTCTGAGGGAATGTGTTGAAGTTGAAACAAAAATGTTTTTCAGAAGGACGCCAAGAAAAGAGGTATGAATACTTCTATAAGTGTCCAGCTGAAAAGGACAGGAATATGTGACTCTTGTTTAAACAAATAAATACGACAGAACTACAGCAGATACCTGGCCGGTTTACCTAAATCCAAACAACCAGTGCCAGGAGGAGGGTCTTAGTGCTATCAATCACAACCTCGTGTGGCGCTGCTCAGCCCTGTCTGCATACTGTGCCTCACCTTGTCTGTTCATTGGTGAATTCCACCTCCCCTGTGGCCTTCTCATAGTCCACTCCAGCCTTGGCACTACCATCCTCAGTGTGGTACGGCACAGCTACTGTGCCCCTGGAGCCCGAGTTCCTCAACACGGTCACCGTCAGCATGCCGGTGCTCTCACTCACTTGCAGCACCTTCTGCTCAAAGGTAAATATTCCAGCATGGTCATCGTCCAGTATAGTGACTGTGGCCAGCAGAGGTTCCACCAGTCTGGCCTTGGGCGGAGAACCGGTCCCTTCACTCCCTCCCTCCTCTAACCTCAGATTTTGAAGACGCACAAAGAAATGTTCATCCTCTTCAAAGATGTCATCATCCAAAATCCCCACCTGCAGGGAAAGCAGTATTGCTCCGTTACTTTTCCCTCTGGATGCAGAATGACGACATCTGTAGGCCGACTGGCTCTGCTTTTAATTTATTTAAGTCACAAAGCAAATAAAGAACCTGTTGCCACTAAAAATAAGATATATGAACCAGCTTTCAGACACAGATATAGGCCCAAACCTTTAAATTGGAATTTCTTTTAAATATTTACTTATTTGAAACTCGAGTATGTAACTTTTATAAAACATTTTTTACATATTTGTGGAAAATGTCATTATGTTTTCACAGTATGGTATTAGACAGATAATCTGTGGAGCGATCGCCGCTCATTGTTTCGCAGGACGTCTTTCTGATGAACACCCAGTAATCAGAGTGCCAACATCAACAAAATTCGGATTTGAGTCAAGCTTTACTTCCTGTTTGTGAAAATTAAAAAATGCATGCTTGCATATTTACAAAATTAATATTTTATTTTTATTGCTCTTTCTATATAATTCCATCCAAAATGGGAGCAAAGTGAAATCAAGATCTACTGTCTTTATTGCATGCACAAACTTGGCAAATAAAGCAGATTCTGATTACTCTAAGACTATGAATAATGGTTTTAAAAACTTTCAGTGGAAAAGCGGGAAATACAAAAATAACTTAACAGCCTTTAAGAGATCTTTTTACCTTGATCTCTTTTCGGGTTTCCCCTGGTTTGAATGTGAGAGTCCCCTCGTTAAACTCATAGTCTGATCCAGCGTTAGCAGATCCATTTTCTGTACGGTAGTCCACATAGAAGGTGTTTTGGCCTGTTCCTCCATCGAGGACCACCCACAGGGTCACAGAGCCACAGTTCTCTGTGCATTGGTACTGGACGCTCTCAAAACAGATGTGTGAGCATGTGGCCTTGTCTGCATCCTGTCCCGCCGCACGCCGTTTCTGATCTGCTGCGTGCTTCTTTAAGATGTTTCCAGCACCGATCATCCTCCGTGTTGCTTGGACACGATAAAAGGCACGGCTCTTCTTCTGGTGGACCAGGGCAGAGTAGTTGGCCATCTCGATCAGCTGGTCCAGGTCTTTATCAGGATGCTTCTCCTTCAGATCTTTCAAGATGCGGACGACCTGTCCAAGGGAGGAAACAGGTTGAAACAGAAGAGATCTGGGAGCTTCCTGAGTCAAACAGAAAGAGTTTAATAACTGTACTTGAAGTTCTACAATTACCTTCTAGATAATGTTACCACCCACATGGTTGTATAAGAGCAACTTGAGAAGATTTACAGCGCTGTGCTAAACTATGTTGATTTTTTAAATGTTTTTAGTGGGCTTATGCTTTCAGATCATCAAGCTAACTTTGATGGCAGACATATGCCTCTCATATTTTATATATCAATACCTTGTCTTTTAAAATTTTCCCATGGCTCTAGCTACAATAAACACAGCAAACTAGCATTTACTGAGACGTAACACCATCCCAGTTTCAATCTCGCCTCTTTCCGTGATCCACACGTCTTACCTCATCTTTGTTCTGGTCCAGCTCACTGCCTGTCTGCACAGACACCGTCACACTAGAGGAGTTTCCAGGGCCTGGATTGCCGTCTGGCAGCTTTCCTTCCATGATACCATCGATGCCTTTGCTGGAATCGTCCCCCTCCATTTCCACTACAATCCCATGCCTCTTGTTGGTGCGGTATCTTTTATGCATGTATTTGTAAAAGAGCAGGCGGCGGTCGGCGATCCAAGCCAACATCACACAGACGGGAAAATACAGCAGAGTGACTACAGCTTCCCAAACCTGCAGACACAGACAAGATGACCATAAGGTTATCTATACTGTAAATGCATTGTACTTATTCCTTACACTTAATGTTTTACGTAATAGCTGGGGATCTACAGCTGTTACGTAACATCTTAATAAACTTACGTAAGCCACCTCAGCAACTTTCTCACTACCTATGGCAAGAAAATTGCTGAGATGGCAAAGGTGAGTATTTACAAAGAAAAATTTAACTCAACTCCTGTGATAAGTACAATTATTTAATTTGTCCACATAATGACATTTTGTGTGTAAGTTAGTGGTCGTTGCTCACATTTACAATTGCCCGTTATGACCTGAATACGTTTTTAGTGTTTTAAGCAGAGATTTTAAATTATACATATTCTCACATCAAACGACCGTGGATCTCTTCTACTGTTATTTATTTTCAATATTCTTTCGAATGATATCCAGCTTTAATCTGGTTTATTTTATCTTTTACTTGTTTTCATAGATAATTTTTTTGTGTATAAGATGTACAAAAAATGCACTTTGACAACCAAACGAAATATGTTAGCTCCTGGTGTATTATACTGATTTGAAAACAGGAAGATACTGTTACTGATTATTGTTGGTCACTCAAAAAAGAAAACAGGCGATCCAACTTAAAAACAATCTGTTAATTTGTTAGAAGAAATCAAATTAGGTGTATATATTAAGTTTATTAAGATGTTATCTTAAACAAACAAAATTTAAATAAACTTAATTCAATTACATTGAACTACATCTCCAACGTCGGGATGCTCCCTGAAAAGAACTCATCAAAGCCAGTGTAATCAGATGTACAAAAATATTACTTTGTCAAATCAGACAGTTTTAGTTTCAGAGAGTGAAATGTCTGTATTGGATATTTGGAGGCTGAGTTTGAGAAGTAGAGCTATTTAGTCGTGGCTGCCGAATCTGGGTTGCAGTTGAGGATAACGGGTAGAACGGAGACCTACCTCAACAATCCCTGGGGAGATGACGGCCAGAATGAGGTAGAGCCAAATGTATGCAAAGATGCTCCAGAAAGCTGTGATAAAAAACACTCGCAGGTGTTTGATCTTGCGAGACTGTCCATCTGGAATTACTGACACACACAGACCAATTATCACAAGCATGTTAAAGGCCGCACTGCCGACTATGGTGCCTGGACCGAGCTCCCCAGCATTGAAGTTGTGTCCACACACCTGTACAAGGGTAACAAGAACACAACATTGAACTTTTCTGAACCTTTGCAATTGGTGCAAATATGTTTTAATGTTTTACAATGAATTTCAGAAAGCAGGTTGTCCAGTTTACCCATAAGAGTAAACTGTTTTCATCCAATTTGTACACATATTTGTTTAAATAACTAGAGAAATAACATTTTTTACTCTTTTTAATGTAGACTTCACTTTCACAGGCAGCAGCGTTTGCTCGTGTTTATAGTAGATGGAAGAGAGTACCTCAATAACTGAGAGCAGGATCTCTGGTGCGGAGGAGCCCAGGGCCATGAGTGTCAGGTTGGACACGGTTTCATTCCAGACCCGCACGGTTTTCACCGTGGTTTCCCCATCAGGTTTGGTAATGGTCACTTCCTTCTCCTGATTTGGGAATTTCAGGATATGATATTTACATGAAACACAGAGAAATCTGGTGATTCATAGACACAATCACAGAGCACAAATTGGACGCTGTGAATAATGAGTCTGAGTCTTAGGCTGACTTTAACAGGTTCTAAATATTGAAGAGAATGATGATACCTGAGATGTAATGACTTCTATGGATGCCATGAAGCGGTCAGCAATGACGGATACTCCAAGGAATATGTACATGAGAGACAGGAAGTACACAATCGCCCTCCCTGCTTGTTCCCCAACCGGAGGGTTGAGAGGCTCCCAGACTGGCAGCAGAATGCCGGGTTTACACATCACGACACCTGCACAAGTCTTCTTTTCAGACTCTGTGGAGTTGTCAGAGGACTGAGATTGTTCAGGCGCAGACGCTCGCTCCAGGACTTGAGGCCTGATGGAAATGCAGGGGTGGCACAGGAAGAGGAGGAAGAAGAAGACAAGGAAGAGTGGCCCGTGGTGAAAGGAAAGGAGCCCCATCGTATCCCTGAGTCAGATGGCACCTGGGGGTCAGAGGTCACTGGCGGGGGAAGCTGGGTTGGTCCTAGAGAAACAGAGACATGACAAAAGAGCTCAACAGTTTATCAACACAACTGAAGACTGAATAAACTTTAAAGTTTAATGAAATGTGAGATTCATTTCTATAAAGTGTAGGAACATGTCATCTATGTTGTACTTATTCAGCTTAACCGTCTGACCAGGTAAAATGTAAGGACTGGACAAGTGGATAATTTTTTCTTTGTCATCAAATATTTTATCAAATCTGATTGTGATTAAATTTAACCTAGTTTTATCCTGCTAAGTTCACATCCTGTTAACTAGTGGGAGGTAGAGCTGGACTGGTTGGTGATTAAACAGGCAGAGAGACTAATTCTGCAAAAACATCCATTATATCTGTTTGAGACTCAAATGAAAGGTGTCAGAAGAAGCTATCAAAAGACACACTCATGTTGATTCACTGTAGTCAGAGAGGAAAACTGAGGTTAACCAGGTTAGGAACCTGCTGCAAAAGAAATAAGGGCACAAACGTATCACTTACAACAATCAGAAAACATTATGCAGCATTTCAAGCACATATTTTTAGACTAATAAGTTTATATTATGAGTGCACCAATTGCAGTTTTCTGGCCGTTTACCAATCTTTAAGAAAACTGACTTACCGATTCTAGTTTTGGCTCATACCAAATTTTTTTTGTCGAGTTGCTGAGATGGAAAAGGTGAGGTGTCTATTGTTAACTGCAAACATGACCTGGCGGGTAGGTCTGTCAGTCAAACCGCGATAGAGGACAGTGGTTGATGTTTAGACCTTTGCTGACACAGATAAATCGGTGGATGATATCACCATTCTCCCAAAATTAAAGAAATCTGGGCCAATTTATTGTTGCATTCCTACTTTATATTTGTGTCTTTGACATTTCCAGTTCATCAGTGGGCTATGAACAATTTCTCTGGCTGAAAAAAAACAATAAAAAAGAGAGAGAGAGACGCCTGCCAGGTATGTTTGGGAGGAGAGAAAGAAAAAAAAAAAGAAATGTTTGCAGCTCTCACTATTGCTGGTTCAGCAATAGTGAGAGCTGAACCACTGGCCTGGCCAACAATCTCCACAACGCTATTTCAAGATGTGTATTTCCTTTCAATGCCTTCCCCCACTACCACAGTAACAGTCACATTTTCCTGTTGTGACTCGGTCTTAGATATTTTACTCTGTAAAATATCCCCTCTGTTGTCTGCCATTGAATTGTGCTGTTGAAGACCAAGTTTGTGTCTAGTTTTTATACATTACCATTGAAAAGCCAGAGGTTGTCTGTGTATTTATTAGGTACACTGATGGTGACTATAAGGTCTGTTAAATGTGTCATAGAAAAATGCAGTGCAGCATGCATCAGAAAGTCAGAGGAAACTCAGAACATGAAAGCAGGTCTGAAACCACAGTGCGATACATTTAAACACAATCCATTTTCTTTGGCTTCATTTGAATTTAACTACAGTTTTTTCACACCTCAACCATTAGATACAACATATGTGTACAGTAAATATTTTTACAAAGACTAAATGTTTTTAAAGGGTCAGCCCAGAGTAACTACTTAAAGATTCATTGGATTCATAAAGAGGAAGCCATTATACCAAAAAGACACATTTATCTACACAAACGTCACTCAGGGTACTTATGAACAATAAGTAGCTTCAGAAAAAACATGGTGAAGACTCAGATCCACATATAAGAGGGGCCCTTTACATTGTTTTCAACAGAAAATACAAAATTGAAGCTTGTGACAGTAAAGATGAACATTAGTGATTTATGACTTATGAGGGCACATCTGTTGTATAGATGACAGAAATACTTGGCCTTAAATGGTAAATGGACTGAACTTATATAGCGCTTTTCCAGTCATTTTGACCACTCAAAGCACTTTACACTAGAGCCACATTCACCCATTCGCACACACATTCATACACCGATACGCAGACCGGTAGGCAATTTGGGGTTAAGTGCCTTGCCCAGAGGCACATCGACATGTGGCAGGAGGAAGCTGGAATCGAACCTACAACCTTCCGATTGCAAGACGACAACTCTGCCACACAACACAGTAACTGACTCATCGTTGATTAACTTGGAAAGGTTCTGAAAAACTAGTAAAGAAGAACAAATAAAGAGGACTTTTCAAAAGTCCAAACTCTCCCTTTATCCCATTTTGTCTCTGTATACTCACAAACATCTTTGTATTTTACTGTCATTGTAAATAGTAATTGGCAGTACTATAATTGTGTTGTACTTTATCAAGTCCAGAGGACTCCCGAGCTCTTCACACTACATTCACACGCTTTTTGTAGCCACAGCTGCACCTGGAGAAATCTGACAGAAGTGACGTTGCCATGCACCTGCGCCACTAAGCCCTCTGACCACCGTCAAGGCGAGTGAAGTGTCTTGCTCAAGGGCACAACGACACAGTCAGATGAAGCAGGGGCTCGAACCGACAACAGGATGAACTTCTTCCACCATCGCCCAAAGGTAACAGATCAACATGCGTAGCAGAGGTTTAAAGTGAAAGGAAGTGGTTTTGAACATTACCAGATACACCTCAATCATAATGCTACCTTTTGCGAAGTTCCAGAAAAAACAAAACAAGCAAAAGAATTCAGTAAACATGTCAAGGTTCTTCTACAAGTCTGGTTCATCATGGTAAGAGATTCTCTTTATCAACCATAAACCCAGATCTGTAGCAACACAGGCTGAAAAGCTTTGGCACTAATTGGTATTCCATGTGGACAAATACTCAACAACCAGATTAGTTTGAAAAAAGTCAAAGTTTTAAAATCAGTTTTACAAAGCCCTGATCTCAGCCCAATAGGAAAATTATGGGTGGAGACAAAAGGTGTGTGTCAGCAAGCTAACTACAGACATGGCACAGTCACACCAGGTCTGCCAGCAGAATGGGACAAAATTGTAACAAACTAGTGTGAGAAGTGTGTGGAAGTATATATTTAATGTAAATTACAGAGTTTAACAGGTAGTTCAGCTGAAGAGACACACACCAGGCTCGTCTATTCACTTCCAGCCATTCACCTGAACAATCATGGCTGACAACAAAAGTTTATGATGCAAATTTTAAACTTCATTACATCATAAATACAGAGAAAATGTATCACGATAAATGATACATTTACTGGGCATTTATTATAGCTTTGGACACCACAAAACTTGCTTGTGTCCAAAGCTGTTGCTTAGTGATTGATGCATAACAATGACAGCTGAGACAGAGTCAGTGAAAAGATAGACTTATTGCACCTGATATCATCATTGCACTACTTACTAGAATTGGCATTGTTATTTCCTAATGTTGTGCAGTCTTATTATGCTCAAGGTGACATAATTCACCTTGAGAAAAAAATTGCGAATGAATACATTGTTTTTTACTCTGTAAACAAATGTGTGAAGGGAATGGCAGAAGCATTCTTTAAACACATAAAACATGCTGAATGGTTCAAATATTACGCTAAGCACAATCAGACTGAACACTATAGAGCAAGGCTGGCAGACCCTGGAAATGTTACCTAAACACCACGCCTGAAAGATTACAGAGTTTTGCTGCAGAGCTGCAGTCTTTATTCCACTGGACCAAAGTGTGCATTGAAACAGATACTTAGGTTTTGCATCTTTGATGCAGCTTGAGCTCAGCTAGCTCATTATAGAGTTGTGATTCAGAAACACAGCCCAGAGGGCCTGCTGCATCGCATTTCACTTTCCAAGGTCTGCTATGGTTACCACGGCCTCAGGCAGAGGGCCACTTTACACCTGCTGTAAGTGTAGTGGGTTGGGTCGCTCCCCAATAAAATCCAATAAATGTTACGCCTTCAAAACAATACAACTCATAACCTCAGAGAGGAATACAGTTATAACAGTTTAAAAAAGCAGATGATATTGAAACAATCAACATGTTTTGGTTTTTTTTTTCAGTTTAGTGAAAAACCAGAAACAAATTTTAAAGGGGAAGTTTTATATATTTTTCATAGTACATATGTAAAGCATAACCTGTGTTAACTGCAGTTGCTATAAAAATGCAATATACATCAAATTTTAAAACATTTGACTTGGTAATTTAACACTTTGATTATTGGGCCTCTCTTTAAAAACTCCTGCTCTTTCTGAAATTCTGCCTTCAGGACGTTATCACAACATGGCTCCTCCATTAGCCCTTTGACAATGTTTACGGTAGTGTTGCACTAAGAAGTGACTCACATGATTAGCTCAACAGATATGCAGTTCCATCAGGTCTTTGCTAATTGCTGCTGACTAGTCTGAAGGAGCTGAGTGAAGGAGTGAGGGAGAGAGGCACTTAATAATGTGGAAAATCAGAACCTTGGAAACTGCAGGTCTGAGGCGGCGATCGGCTCACCCAGGCATTTTGCACAGCTGAATGGCTCCCATGGAGATTCAGTGATTTCTCTAAATGCATGAAGGAATCAAGGCAACATGCATTATAACATGATGTAAAACTTATAAAAGCTGATTTTATATAAAACTGCCCTTTAAACACTTTTGTAATCAAATAAAACCTGAACAAAGGAGAATCTATTCTCCACATGCTTAAACGTGTCGATCTTCACCATCAGAATGCTATTCTCAAACTCCACAGATGATCTTGGTATTTTATTAGACCAAAAAACAGATTTGTTTTGATAGATGACACCAGATTGCTCCTCAGAAATGACCGGCAGCAATCAGTAGAGCTACGACGGAGAACAAGTGCGTGCTGATAAGATCTGGTACTGGAAGGGTTGGATGCATTATTGATAGATGCATCCATCTAAATACAGCAGGATATCTGTTCCTTTTGTGTCACGTACAAGTACCACGGTACATTTTTAGATGGTGGCTTTAACAGTTAGTTATTACAGGAACGCTCATCAGTTGACTGTTTTTATAAATTATTTGAGACTGCTGCTGCCTCATCTGAACACATCAAAGACAAATCAAATATTCTTCTTTTGTTGTCATAAAGATGGATGTTTTTCACAAAGTTGAATACTGCTAGTTTCTACATA